ACGATACAGTATTCAACAGAACAATTTCCAACAACTGAATATATTACTGAACAATCTACAACTGAACAATATTCCATGGAATATCCACAAACAACACTACGATATTCTACGGAACAATCTACGATTAACGAGTACTTCACTGAACAACCACCGACAACAATACCATATTCAACAGAAAAATCAACAGCCATACAGTATTCAACAGAGCAACTTTCAACGACTGAATATATTACTAAACAGCCTACAACTGAACAATATTCCACGGAATATCCACAAACAACACTACAATATTCCACGGAACAACTTTCAACAACAGAACTATACATTACAGAGTTAGAACCATTCACCACCGAATCATACACTACTCTAACAATACCTACAATAACTCCAGGACTTTGCAATCAAACTGTCGTCAACGGTTCCGAATGTAAAATCTGTTTGAACGGCACGTGTCACCGGCTCGTGTGCTTCAATCTAAGGAACCAGAGTACGCCTTATTGTTGCATACTCCCAGGTAAAAGATCTTTCTCGTCGGGAGACGTCATAGTAAATGTGTTGTTCTCGTGTTCTATATGTTTCGACAAACATTCTCCAATGTGATATCATCCAGGTGAAAGTATATATCCAGATAAAAATTGGGCACAACCAATTCTGGAGAATCTTTCTTCATTTTTGTGATCGATAGATCGTATGTAAATTTACGATCATGATATATACTCATTGAACAATTTTTCATAGGAACGTTAAATAAAACGTTTGTTAAATATATACGTAATACATATAAGTAATGATTACAATTCAATGCTGCGATCCAAACCAGACATGGACCTGCTGCATTTTGTAGCTCTTCTGCATGTTGTACATTATTGTGTATTTGCGCCTCTGCACGTTTTCTTCTTGCTTATCTATATATGTAGCAATTAATTGTAACTTTTTTTTGTAGAGTCCAAGGAATTTTAAAGGAAACTGTTGAGACAATTTTCTTTATGATTTACATTTATTTTAAAACGATATTTTTTTTTTTATTATAGAAATAATTTGTAAATGTTTAACAAAATGTTTCCTTTAAAAGTAGTAAAACTAACGACTATTTCTGGGCTTTACACATATAACACAAGAACCATTATATGTTTTAGAAATTAAAGGATATTATGTATACCTATGTATTTTTTTCCATGTTTATTATTGTGTATTAGTTTATATTGTTTTATTAGTTTTTTTGTTTAGATATATGTGTATAATTTTTTTTCCACGAGTCATTTAAAAATTTCATTCAGAGAAATCATCGAGTCATACGATCAATGAATAAATTTTAACAGTTTTTACTGAAAAGTTAAATTTGAAATGTATTACTCACGTGAACGAGTTATTTTGAGCTTCTAATATACATTCGTTTCATCAGATACCAAATGCAAAACGCATGACGACTGTCTCTCTCAATTGGCCTGCATAAACGATCAATGTCTGAATCCGTGCACTGTTCACAATCCATGTGATTTTGTGGAAGTCTGCCATGTTCAAGATCATAGACCTGTTTGCGTGAAAGGTAGAATATTCAAAATTAAATCAGATACACAAAATTTAAAGAAGAAAAAAAAATTGGATGCAATAGAGAATGTGCAAAGAAAACGATAGAAATCAATTCATAGAAATTACCGATCAATTTTTCAAAAATTTAATCTCTGTAGAATTAAATTTTTATTATTTGATGCTCATATCTGCAAAAATTTAATAAAAATCATTTGCATCCTCTTTTTATTATTTCAAAGATAATTTTTCACAAAATAAATCATTTTTTTTTTCAATTTTCTCAGAGATGACAAACGAAACAAACTGTCCTTATTGTCCACCAGGAATGGAGTGCGATCCAGCGACGTATACTTGCGTGAAAGGTTCGTACAAGATCGAGCATCTAATTTCGATCTTCCATTTTTTATCTATTTTTTACAGCGTTCATTTAACTCGTCCTGTAAATATGTATGTATTTGTACATATTGTATATTGCGCGTTTCACGACGTGCAATTTTAATTTCACTTCATTCTTCACACGAATATTTCCACGATTCTCAATTATATCTTTCATTCAATATCCAAATCTTTAATCTTTTCTAAACTTATATAAAAAACAATTCTTCAACACGATTCTTTGACATCGATATCGATCTTCGCACACCCGATACATAAAAGATAAAGTACCGTGTTTCATAAAATGACTGATTCACTTGAGCAATTACACTCGACACAGGGAGCCACTTACCACCCTTATTTTTATACTAGTGCACTCTTTCTCGGGGCTATACGGGCTTTTTTCTCAATCTTTCCTTAGCGGGTTGCACTATCCACAAAGATTGCCCGCTGACAGAGGCGTGCATTGAGGGCACTTGTCAGGAACCGTGCCTCGTTTGGAATCCTTGCGCCCAAAACGCGATCTGCGTTAACACAAATCACCGTGCGGATTGCAGCTGCGAGGATGGTTATCATGGGAATGGATTCAATTACTGTGAACCAGGTAATTTTATGATAATACTGTTACTCCTTAATTTCGTTCTTTCATTTAATTTTAATATACTTATGAATTTATGTTATAAATATTTGTTCATCAAATTAATAAATTAAATTGTACAGATTTTTTTTTTTAAAAACGATAGAGCAAAGTGATCAACATTATTTGAGCGAAGATAGTATTAATGAAATATTTGCATTTTAATATTTAATAATATAAATATAAAATCGTGAAAACGAATAATAATTTCTGATTTTTAATAAATAATAATAATACCAAAGATAAAAATTTCATTCATTCCAGAGGAAGAAGGTAGAAACGTATGTCAGTATAATGAGGATTGTCCACCATATAAATATTGCGACCGTCTCAACCGGAAGTGCATCGACCCTTGCCTGAAGACGGATTGCGGTCTGAATGCGAGCTGTTATCCGGAGAATCATCAAGCACAATGCAAATGTTTGGTCGGATTTCAAGGAAAACCTTACGTTGGTTGCACGCCAGTGACCACGGATCCATGTGTTCCAAACCCTTGCGGTTTGGACGCGATGTGCGAGAACGATAATGGCAATCCAATATGCTTCTGTCCTAAGGGATTGACTGGAAATCCTTTCGAGCAATGCAGTAAGATTTTCGAATATATTTTTTTCTTTCTTAAAACGATTAATCGTTTCGTTCGAAACATGAATTATCTCATGCAAGCAAAAAATGATTGTATAAATTAAAATTGAAAATGATAATTCAAGTTTTTAATGGAAAATTTAAAAATTCTTATATAGTACCAGAGGGCGATCAATGCCGAGAAAATCTGTGTGGTGTCAATTCTGGTTGTCGCGTGATATCAGGGGAAGTGAGATGCTTCTGTTTACCAGGATACGAAGGAAATCCTCCTGATTCTCCTTGCACACTCCCCAACAATCCTTGCGAACCATCTCCCTGTGGACCTAATACTCAGTGCACGATATTGAACAACGGTTTAGCGAAGTGCACTTGCCTGCCAGGATATATCGAGAGTCCAAATACAATCAGAGGATGTGTACCTAAATCTGATCAATGTAATCCTAATATTTGTGGTCTGGGTGCTGCGTGCAATTCGAGTAGAGTGCCTCCTTGTTATTGTCCGGAGCACACTGTTGGAAATCCTTACCAGAGCTGTGCAGGTGAGCATTTAAAATTAAAAAAAAAAAATAATGTAAAAATTAAAATGAATTAACCAATTGGACTAGTTGTCTAACCATTAAGTTATTCAAAATAGAACGTTTATAATAAAGAAATTTCTTTAAAAAAATTTATTATCCATTTCCAGTACCTCCAAGTGATGTATTCGAGCCTTGTTTATTGATGCCATGTGGAAAGAATGCTATTTGTGTCGAGGAACACGGTATTCCCAAATGCAAATGTGTTCCACCATTTATTGGGAATCCGTACATTGATGGTTGTGAAGCGGAATGCGTTGTGAATCAAGATTGCGACAATCATCTCGCCTGTTTCAATCAGCATTGCAGGGATCCTTGTCCAGGTGTCTGTGGTTCCAATGCAAAATGTGAAGTAATCGATCATGTGCCGGTTTGCTCTTGTTTGCCTGGCTATACTGGGGATCCATTTAATTCTTGTAAAGCCGAGAAAGCTGGTCAGTAATTATTATTGAATCAGATGAGTTTCAATTATTAGTAGAATTTATCTAAAATTAAAATTTAATCGAATTTTGCAGTACTTCCAGCTCAGAATCCTTGCATGCCGTCACCTTGCGGGCCACACAGCATTTGTCGCATGATGAACGATCGTGCAGTTTGTTCGTGCAGTCCAGGATACCATGGATCACCGCCATCTTGTCGTCCAGAATGTTTAGTCAGCTCAGAATGTGCTGCACATTTGGCGTGCATCGGCCAGAAATGTGGAGATCCTTGCCCTGGCCTTTGTGGACAGAACGCTTTGTGTCAAGTCGTGAATCATAATCCTATTTGCAGTTGTCCTCCAGAATATCTCGGTGATCCTTTTTCACATTGTGTTAAAGAAGGTAATTTTTTTTCTTTTATTTTAATCAGATTTCTTTGTTAAATTGTTCTGTGTAACAAAATGTATTCTTTTTCTCCGTTAGATATACCACTGCCAAGTCCAAAGAATCCTTGTCTGCCATCACCCTGTGGCCCGAACGCCGAATGTCGCGTGCAGGAAAATCACCCTGTTTGCACGTGTGTTAGCGGAATGTTTGGCGCACCACCGAATTGCAGACCCGAGTGTCTGATACATCAAGACTGTCCAAATTACCTCGCTTGTGTTCAGAAAAAATGCGTGGATCCTTGCATTGGTTCTTGTGGTTTCAATACGAATTGCACCGTGCATAATCATCGTCCCATGTGCCAATGTTATGAGAGTTACGAGGGGGATCCATTCTCTGGATGTAGAAAAGGTAAAAAAGTCTTTTAATTAATTTTCGGTTCTTACTGCTATGTTGTATTAATAATTAATATACAAAGAATTTTGAAATATAGAAATATACATGTATCGATTGATTATTTTTTGTTTTACAGTTACATTTCCAGTACCACTGCCATGCGATCCATCTCCCTGCGGCGCAAATGCAGTTTGCAAAGAACGAAACGGAGCTGGCTCGTGTACTTGTTTACCTGACTACACTGGAGATCCTTATGAAGGATGTAGACCAGAATGTGTTCAAAATTCAGATTGTGTTCACACGAAAGCCTGTATAAACAACAAATGCAAGGATCCATGCGTGGGTGCTTGTGGTATAAATGCTCAATGCCAAGTGATCAATCATCAACCCTCGTGCAGTTGTCTCTCTGGTTACACTGGAGATCCTTTGAAATCTTGCCACGTACCACCTGGTAAGTTGATATTAATCGTTAGAAATAAAATATGTACATTGTAATCCTTAGTATTTTTTCATAAACATTACTTAATCAATTGCAGTAACACCACTGCCTGGTAACCCATGCCAACCATCTCCATGTGGTCCGTATAGCAATTGTCGCGTGATTGATAATCATGCAGTTTGTTCCTGTCAACCGAATTATGTTGGTAATCCTCCACAATGTAGACCAGAATGTGTTGTTAGCACAGATTGCACTCAGAACACGGCTTGCATCGATCAAAAATGTAGAGATCCATGCCCAGGCACTTGTGGCCAAAATGCTGACTGTCAGGTCATCAATCACAATCCGGTGTGCAGTTGCACATCTGGATACACTGGAGATCCGTTCTTTGGATGTGTTAAAGAACGTAAGATTTTTATTTTCGTGTTGTTTATCTTAAATGATATATTTTTTTTCTAATTAAAATATTTTTTAAAGCGGAAGGAAAGCAACCTGGACCGGAACCGAGTGGCAATCCATGCATTCCATCACCATGTGGACCGAATTCTCAGTGTCGCGTGATCGATGGTTTCCCAGCATGTTCTTGTCTACCGAATTATGTGGGCAGAGCACCGAATTGTCGACCGGAATGTGTTATCAATGAAGCATGTCCTGGAAATCTTGCCTGTCAGAACGAACAGTGTGTGGATCCTTGTCCAGGCTCTTGTGGAGTAAACACTTATTGTAACGTCGTGAAACATAATCCTGTTTGTATTTGCAATACCGGATACACTGGCAATCCATTTACCGAATGCGTACCTATAATAGAAGGTATGAAACTATTTTAAATGTGTTATAGCATCGTTTCATAATTAAGATTTATTCTATAATTAAAAAAATTTTCAAATTTTGCAATTTTTAAATTTTCAGAACCCACTACAACCGAGCAACCTCGTACACCATGCAATCCATCCCCATGTGGAGCGAACGCGATCTGCAACGAGCGAAACGGTGTCGGATCTTGTACTTGTCTTCCAGAGTATATCGGCGACCCATACACAGGATGCAGGCCAGAATGTGTCATAAATACAGACTGCGATCGCAGCAAGGCTTGTTTGAACAACAAATGCGTGAATCCTTGCCCTGGCACTTGTGGACAAGGAGCAACATGTCGAGTGATCAATCATGCTCCTTCCTGCATCTGTTTACCTGGTTTCACTGGAGATCCTTTCAACGCTTGCACTGGAATAGAAGTGACACCTGAACCATTACCGCTCAATCCTTGTGAACCATCGCCTTGTGGACCGAATAGCAACTGTCGCGTGCACAATGGACATGCAGTGTGTCTTTGTCAACCAGGATTCGTCGGTGTCCCTCCTACATGTCGACCAGAATGTATAGTGAGCTCTGAGTGTCCTCAGAACAAGGCTTGCATCGAGAACAAGTGTGCGGATCCTTGTCCAGGTTCCTGTGGATTAAACACGAAATGTCTGACGGTGAATCATAATCCCATTTGCACTTGTACGAATGGATACACTGGAGATCCACTTGTTCAGTGTACTAAATCCAACGCGACACAACCACCGTTCAAGGATCTTGGAAATCCATGCTCACCTAATCCTTGCGGACCTAATTCTCAATGCAGAGTGATTGGTTCTCAGCCTGCGTGCTCCTGCCTGTTAAACTTCATCGGTCGTCCTCCGAATTGTAGACCAGAATGTGTTGATAACTCGGATTGCTTCCATTCGGCTGCTTGTATAAAACAGAGATGCAAAAATCCTTGTATTGGAGCTTGTGGAGAAATGGCCAGATGCTCGGTTCAGAATCATATTCCTATTTGTACTTGTCCTGAGGGATACGAGGGAGATGCTAGTGTTCGTTGTGTCTTGGCACCTCCACCAAGTAAGACTTCTTCTATTTGATATTAGATCACTTTTCATATTATAATATAGTTTGTTTAATCTTAAATCTTTACTGTATTGTATTTAGCAACGGATATAAGCGTAGCAAATCCATGTTCCCCGAATCCATGTGGTCCAAATGCTCAGTGTCGCGAAAGAAACGGTGCTGGAGCTTGTGCATGTCCACCAGATCTTATTGGAGATCCCTATGATAACGAAAAGGGATGTCACAGAGAGTGCGAATCGAACAACGACTGTGCACCGCAATTGGCTTGCGTTGGTTTCAAGTGTACCGATCCTTGTCCAAACACTTGTGGCACATTATCCATCTGTAACGTCCAGCAACACGTTCCAATATGCACTTGTCCTCCAGAATACACTGGAGATCCATACTTTGCATGCGAAATAAGAGAAACGACAAGTAAGTTCCATTATATATTTAATATTTATATTGGATATAATTTGAACAAAAGATTACTCATTTGATTATTCATTTTTAGGAATTCCATTAGATCCATGCTCACCATCACCATGTGGACCGAACAGTAAATGTCGCGAAGTGAATGGTCAGGCTGTTTGCACGTGTCTTCCGGAATACAGAGGAATTCCACCTAATTGCAGACCAGAATGTGTGGTAAACGCTGAATGTCCATTTCATTTGGCTTGTTTGAACAAGAAATGCACTGATCCATGCCCGAATACTTGTGGAGTGAGAGCACTTTGCACCACCAAGAATCACAATCCTATTTGTACCTGTCCTGTTGGATTTACTGGAGATCCATTTTTCCAGTGCTCGCCTAGTGAGAATAATTCTACTAGAATATTTTGAATTATTTTATTAAAAAGATAGAAGAATTTAATATAAAATATCCATTTTACAGTTCCAGATATTCCATCGACTGAACGACCACCATCTTGCAGTCCATCGCCATGTGGTCCGAATTCTCTCTGTCAAATCATATCCGGAAATCCAGCATGCTCTTGCTTACCAGATTACATCGGTGTTCCTCCAGAATGTAGACCAGAATGCATTTTGAGCTCTGAATGCAAGAGTCATCTTGCTTGTGTGAATCAGAAATGTAAAGATCCTTGTCCAGGTTCATGCGGTGTAAATGCACAATGTCATGTGGTTAATCATATACCTGTTTGCACGTGTATGGACGGTTTCACTGGTGATCCATTCGCACAATGCAGAGTGATTCCTCCAAGTAATGTTACATTTTTTATTCATATTAATTCTGTATTAAATCATGAAGAAGAAAGTTTATAGATCAATGTATCTAAATAAATAAATTAATTCTTCTTTTAGCAACTATGCCAACTGTCAGCGACCCATGTAACCCGTCACCATGTGGATCAAACGCAATTTGCAAAAATGGCGACTGCGAATGTCTACCAGAATACATTGGCAATCCATACGAAGCTTGTCGACCAGAATGCATCTTAAATTCAGAATGTCCACGCGACAAGACTTGTCTGAGAAACAAATGCAAAGATCCTTGTCCTGGAACTTGTGGACAAAACGCAATTTGCGATGTTGTAAATCATATTCCTGTATGCTCTTGCCTAGTTGGATACATTGGAGATCCATTCGTCAGTTGTCGTGAACAGCCACATGGTAATTATTTTAGAAAAAAAATTCAATTTTTATATAATGTATTCTGTGTCTATATTATGTAATATATGATAAAATTTATTTTAGTTCCAGAATCTTCAAAGGATCCATGCTTACCTGTTTCACCATGCGGGCCAAACAGCCAGTGTCGCAACATTGAGAATCATGCAGTATGTTCTTGTCTTCAAGGATATCTTGGATCTCCACCATCTTGCAGACCAGAGTGCGTGATCAGTTCAGAATGTCCACCCACTCGTGCTTGCGTGAATAACAAGTGCACAGATCCTTGCTTAGGTTCTTGTGGTTTGAACGCCAGGTGCGAAGTAATCAATCACTCGCCGATCTGCAGTTGTCTTCCTGGTCAAACTGGAGATCCATTCAAGAGTTGCTACGATATTCCACGTGAGAAACTTTGATGATTTGATTAGACATTCTGTCAATTCTATTTTCAATTTTAATTTTTAATCGATATTATTTAAAGAATTCTAAATTTCGTTATTTATATTTTTTTACAGTACCACCAGAGCCCAAAGACACAGGAGATCCTTGCAATCCTTCACCCTGTGGCCCAAATGCTCAGTGTCAAAATATAAATGGCTATCCATCCTGTTCTTGTCTCCCTACTTACATTGGAACTCCGCCATCTTGTCGCCCAGAGTGTTTGATAAATCCTGATTGTCCTTCAGACAAGGCTTGCATAAACTCAAAGTGCACAGACCCTTGTCCAGGATCTTGTGGAGAAAATGCTAGATGTCTGGTTGTCAATCACGCTGTCACTTGCTCATGCCAAGTTGATTATACAGGAAATCCTTTTGTCCAGTGCATCGAGTTGGAAAGTAAGTTCATATCACTATAAATAAATCATAAATCGATTGTCTTCATATTTTTACTCGACCTACTTCATATTGTAAATTACAGAAGAACCGATCAATCCATGCGAACCTTCACCTTGCGGTTCAAACGCAATTTGCCAACAACGTGACAACGTAGGTGCATGCATCTGCATCGACGATTATCATGGAAATCCTTATGAAGGCTGCCAACCAGAATGTATTCTCAGTTCAGACTGTCCAACCAACAAGGCCTGTGTTCGCAACAAGTGCGAAGATCCTTGTCCAGGAGTATGCGGTATCCAGGCTCAGTGTTCTGTCATTAATCATATTCCAACTTGCACTTGTCAACCTGGCTACGTGGGAGATCCCTTCAACATTTGCAGTTTACCAATCAGTCGAGAAACAGAGCCTACTGTCATCGATCCTTGCAATCCATCCCCTTGTGGACCTAACAGTTTGTGCAGAACAGTGAAGGATCAGGCTGTATGCACCTGTCAAGAGTCTTTCGTCGGTTTGCCACCTAATTGCAAGCCTGAGTGTGTCGTGAACTCGGAATGTCCTCAGAATAAAGCTTGTTACAAATACAAGTGTACCGATCCTTGTCCTGGAACATGTGGAGTGGGTGCTAATTGCCGAGTGATCAATCATAATCCGTTATGCAGTTGTCCACAAGGAACTACAGGAGATCCTTTCTCTAGATGTTATCTTCAGCCAAGTAATTATTTCAGATAATCTTTGTTATAAAATTATTTTTATTTTATGGAAAGAAAAAATATTAAAAATCGTGCAATTCTTTTAGTTGCGTCACCACCACCAGTGGATCCTTGCACCCCAAATCCGTGTGGTCTTTATGCAGAGTGCAGAGTAATTGGTGATCAAGCTGCTTGCTCTTGCTTGAAAAACTATATAGGTCTTCCACCAAATTGTCGTCCAGAGTGTGTCGTTAACACAGATTGCGCTTCGAATCAAGCTTGCATCTCAGAAAAATGCAGAGATCCTTGTATCGGATCATGTGGAGAAAATGCAAATTGTAGAGTGCAAAATCATATTCCTGTATGTCTGTGTCAACCAGGATTCACTGGTGATCCTTTCTCATTATGCTCTCCAATAATAGGTGATTATTGAATTCTTTTATTTTTATTTATCTATAAAAAAAATTTAATTCATATATGAATTCAAATTTGCTTTGCAGAACAACCAAAACCATCCGAAGATCTGTGCAATCCATCGCCCTGTGGACCAAACGCAGAATGCAACGAGGGTATTTGCACGTGTCTTTCAAATTATTTCGGCGATCCATACTCATACTGTCGTCCAGAATGCACTATGAACTCGGATTGTTCTCGAGTGAAGGCATGTGTCAATCATTATTGCGTGGATCCATGCGAGGGCACCTGTGGAACCAGTGCAAAATGTGACGTGGTTAATCATATTCCCATGTGCAGCTGCCTTCCTGGTACCAGTGGAGATCCATTCACACTCTGTCGACCACATGTAATCGAAGGTGAATCTTTTTATATTTATTTACGTCGACGAATACTTTTAACAATGATATTAATCGAATATTAATCCATCAGAGCCAAGGATACAACCATGCACACCGTCTCCTTGCGGTCCAAACAGCATCTGCAGAGTGGTGAACGATCATGCAGTTTGTTCTTGCCAAAATGGTTTCATGGGCAGTCCTCCAACCTGTAGACCAGAATGCGTAGTGAGTGCCGAGTGTCCATTGATACAGGCGTGTCTTGGTAATAAATGTCAAGATCCTTGTCCAGGCACTTGTGGCCAAAATACTAAGTGTCAAGTGGTCAATCACAATCCTATATGCAGCTGTTCAGAAGGACATACTGGTGATCCATTCTCCAGATGTTACCCGATGCCCAGTAAGTTTTTTTATACATTTACTTATTTAAATTATTAGTTTACATTATTATATTATCACATCACTTTTTCCCTTTTTCCCTTTTATCTTCTATATAATATAGGAAGAAAATCACAATAAATTCAATTATTTTTTATTAAATTCATTATTTATTACGGATAATTCAATATTTAAATTTTTTATTTACTTACGAATTTTTTTTTTATCACAGTTCTTTTTTTTTACCTTTTATCTTTTACATGATGTAAGAAGAAAATCACAATAAATTCAATTATTTTTATTATATTCATTATTTATTACGGATAATCCAATATTAAATTTTTTATTTACTTACGAATTCGTTTTTTTTTTATCACAGAGAAACCACCAGCGCCAACCAATCCATGTCAACCATCGCCATGTGGACCGAACGCGGAGTGTCAAGTGCGAGGTGACAATCCAGCCTGTTCGTGTATAGCGAATTACATCGGTGTTCCGCCTAATTGTAGGCCCGAGTGTACGATAAATCCGGAGTGTCCGCCGCATTTAGCGTGTATGCAAAAGAAGTGTCGCGATCCGTGTATCGGTTTGTGCGGTTCAAATGCTCAGTGTTCGGTAGTGAATCATCATGCGGTGTGCGCTTGCGCGGAAGGTTACACTGGAAATCCGTTCAGCACTTGCGAGCCGGTCGTCAAGGGTGAGTACGCATACAAAGAGAAAGAATTTTTCGTTTCTTTTCTCTCTTTTTTCTTCTCGTTGCGAACATCGCCAGTTGCATGCGGGCGAAAAACAGGTAAGTGCTTTCTCGAATCTTTGTTAACATTATCGTTTCATATCCTAACAAATGTATCCATGTATTTTCTTCGATGAGAATAAAGAAAAAAAGAAAAAAGAAAATAAAAAAAGGAAAGGCCCTTAAACAACAAATTCAAAATGACAAAATCAGTGACAAAATCAGTCACGATGGTGGCGGGGCCTTGCGTATCATTATCAACATGCACGTTGAAAAGATAATTGATAATTGCATCCCTCTGCGATTAACGACCCTATATAAAGAAGAGCACGCCTTCGAAAACCCCACACTTATGAGAGAATAACCACGAACGAAATGTATGTGTTAGGATGGTGGCGGGGCCTATGGAGTATATATAGGCTCTAATTGCACTCATTTTAAATGATATTCGATAACTAATTCATCCTCGAATGGAAAGAATTTTGCACGCATTGATCATTCCCGATCCAATTATATAACGCTTTGAAATTGATACCTCAAAGACCGCCCTAGATGACAATATTCTTTATTTTGTCGCTTCCTTGAATATTTCTGCGATGGAAAAAACGTTAAAACCCTATGCGTTTCCTGTATGAAAAGCACCCTCGTTACCCTGGACACGGAAATATTAATCCCTAAAAAATGATAGCGAGCTTACATCCCTGACTAAGTGATTGAGACTGACCCTGGAGATACGCTTATTAAGAGGTATATATAAGAAAAAGTAATTAATTAATAAAATTAATACCCTTTAATAAAATCCAAACGCTAATAAATGTTTAGAAGACAATAGGCCACAGAAACACGCACCTCACGACCCAAAAAACACCCAATAACATCCAACGCTAAAGCGAAAATATCAATTTCAATCGACGATCGAAAACGTTGAAATCTTGCTATTGAACAATTACCCATTCGCAAGCGTTCGAATGCTTGCTGTTTATAAAAGCTTCTGCTTATCCTCGATCATTCATTCGCGAAAAGAAAGAGGTTAGATTCAACGAATATTCATGCCACTGCACAAGCTTTGACCAACCATCATTGCATGACCTATTTAAACATAAGTGAAAGTATTTCTCTTTCCCCTATCAGATACACCCCTAGACATTAGGAAACCATGCGAGCCTTCCCCATGTGGTACCAACGCGATTTGTCGCGAGAACAATGGCGTCGGTTCCTGTTCCTGTCTTCAAGACTACATTGGTGACCCATACGAAGGATGCAGACCCGAATGTACGCAAAATTCCGATTGCTCCAAGACGATGGCCTGCATGGGCCTCAAATGCAGAGATCCCTGCCCAGGAACTTGCGGATTGCAAGCCCATTGCGAAACGATCAATCACGTTCCAGCGTGTTCTTGCAACCCTGGATACACGGGCAATCCGTTCAACTATTGTACCCCGGTTTCTGTGTCCCGTAAGATTTCATTTTGCCTCATGTTTTGCAATGTGATCGTTTAGATTATTGATAGAAGATTGATAAATCTTTTTAGAATTGTCGCACAAGTAGCTTAACGAGCACCATGTTTAATACAGTAGTAATGTGTAATACAGATTTGAAAATTGGAGATGCGATGGTTTTGTGAAAATTAATTCTTTTTGTTAAACGTTTTACGTAGTATAAATCAAGGATATATCATGGCTTAAGATAGCCGTGTTTCTATAAATATAACATCGGCAAGAATGTTTGAAAAATTTTGCTTGATAAATCTCTTCATAGAGTTTTCAACTCTGAAGAATTAATTTTTACACAAATACATACATTCGCAATCTCGTATTACAGACACAATTTTACGCATATTTAGACATGTTTAATCTGACTTTCCCCCGAACAGCTACAAAAGAATCAGATCCTTGTAATCCATCCCCATGCGGACCAAATAGTCAATGTCGAACCGTGAACGAGCACGCTGTGTGCACCTGCTTGGCAAATTTCATTGGAACCCCGCCAAACTGTCGACCTGAGTGCGTAGTGAATAGCGAGTGCTCAAGAGAACTTGCCTGCATCGATAAAAGATGCAAGTCCCCTTGTATGAACTCATGCGGTATCAACACACAGTGCAAGGTGATCAACCACAGCCCTATATGCATCTGCAATATTGGATATACCGGTGACCCGTTCGTCAAATGTTTCCCCGCTCCACGTAAGAATATTTCTGTTGATATTCGCTTCATCATCGACCATCAAATTCTTCAAACCTTTAATTGCGAGTTCTAATTCATTGGATTCAAACGAATCCATATGAATCATCATAAATTAGATTATAAACATTCATTGCTTCAATTATGAACACATTGGCTACATATCGTTTCATCAAGATTCATAATTCCAAAATGACAGTTATGACAGTTCCACTCATGAAAAATTGATCACTTCTCATCCTGCATATATTCAAGCTTTATCAAGAGTATTATTCAGCTTAATAAATTTACATGAATTGCTTCAATCATCATTTAGAATCGCCTAAGATTGATTATGTTCTAGCAAACCCATATAAATCGCCTCAATCATATCGCTTCATCATACAATAATGTTACCAATAAATTTTAGAATCGCCCAAGAATGACTTTGACTTGGCTCCCAAAGATCCGTGCATACCATCCCCGTGTGGTATGTACGCGGAATGCAAAAATATTGATGGCACACCTTCTTGTTCCTGTTTACCAAGATACATTGGATCTCCACCGATCTGTCGACCAGAATGTCGTGTCAACTCCGACTGTCCCATGAATCTTGCTTGCACGAAGGAGAAATGCAGAGATCCTTGTCAAGGATCTTGTAGCGTTACGTCCTTATGCACGGTTTACAATCACGTGCCAGTATGCACTTGTCCCGAACAATACACTGGTGATCCTTTCAGCAATTGTTATTCTGCTCCTAGTCCAAGTAAGAAATTTAAAAAAAAGTTGAAAACATGTAAGAGATTTGTGAAGAATCATACATTTATTCGTTTCACAGCTGAACCAACTGTCGTTGATCCTTGTGCATCATCACCTTGTGGTCCAAATACGCAGTGCAACGATGGTGTTTGTACATGTTTGGCGGAATATCAGGGTGATCCTTATGTAGGTTGTCGACCAGAGTGTGTATTGAACACAGATTGCCCCCAGAATCGAGCTTGCGTGAGAAACAAGTGTGTCAATCCTTGTCCTGGTATCTGTGGTCGAAATGCAGAGTGTTTGATGTATAATCATATACCTATGTGCACTTGTCCTAGTGGTATGATTGGAAATGCATTTGTTCAATGCATTGTTCTTCAAGGTATTATTTTTCACATAAAAAATATGAACAGAAACTAAAAATTTTCTTATCTATATTCATTCAAAAAATAGAGGAATATTGAAAACACTTTTTGTTTTATCCCGATATTTTAATCAGTTGTCAAAATATAAGGATTTGAAATGTGCAACTTAAGACGGTCTAGAAATTATGAATAAGCACATGATCTATATTTTTTCCTGGAAATACGTAATACATTTTTTCAGGAATCGTGCCTTTCACTTGTCTGGAGTTTAAGATAGATAAGATAAGATACCGAATAAGCAACAAAATAGTAAAAATTACCTTTCTCTTTTCACGTTGATATCTCAGAAATCGGAAGTCGTATCGAGATAAATCAAAAAGCATTTTAAAGAGCAAAATTCTATGCTTCTAATGATTTTTTTTTTCATTGACAAAAGATCATTATTATCAAAGTTATAACAGTTCAAAGTTTTCCTAATTTTATATAATTTTTAATCGAATTTTAAAGTAAATTAACAGATATTTTTTATTTCTATATATGTTTAAAATACTTATACATTTCTCTGAACGTCTATCATATTGTAACAGATACCATACCAAGAAACCCTTGTTCACCTTCACCCTGTGGACCAAACAGTGTCTGTCGACTAATCAATCAACAACCAGTATGTTCCTGCGTAGCAGGATATCTCGGTGCACCACCTGCTTGTCGACCAGAGTGCACAGTTAGCTCTGACTGTTCTTTATCAGAAGCTTGTAGTAATCAGAAATGTGTAAATCCTTGTCCTGGTTCTTGCGGATTTAATACAATTTGCAACGTTATCAATCATAATCCCATATGCAGTTGTTTGCCCGGATTTACAGGAGATCCTTTCATTCGATGTATTCTACAACGTAAGATCTGTTTCTTTAACTTTCCACAAAAATTTTCTTTAAGTAAAAATATAATTCATAATATACTTTTAGCACCAGAGCCTATAATACCACAAAATCCATGTGAACCCTCTCCATGCGGGCCCAATTCTCAATGTAGAGTCGTCAACAATTCACCCTCTTGTTCCTGTTCATCAGAATTCATAGGCATTCCTCCTAATTGTAGACCAGAATGTATCAGTAATAGCGAATGTCCCAGTGATTTGGCCTGCATGAATCAGAAATGCAAAGATCCTTGTCTTGGATCTTGTGGAGTCAATGCTGAATGTCGTGTTGTCAGCCATACACCTATGTGTGTCTGCCCCAATGATTATACTGGCGATCCTTTCACTCAATGTATACTTAGACCATGTAAGACCATTCAAGATATATTTTTGTTTTTTTTTTCAATCTTTCTATTATAATTATCAAAGATTTTCGTTTCTCCTTATCGTTCAAATTTCGTTCAAATTTCGATTTAAAAAGTGATGTTGAGTAATTAAAATCTTTGATTATAGTTACAAGACAGTTTAATAATTTTTTTCATTCAATAATTTTATTATTTGTTTTGCAACTTTCTAGCTATCTCTGAAAATCTTTCTCCATGTACCCCATCTCCATGCGGATTCAATGCGATATGCAAAGAACAAAATGGTGTAGGTTCATGCTCCTGTTTGCCCGATTATATTGGAAATCCCTACGAAGGCTGTCGACCTGAGTGTATCATTGATACGGATTGTCCATCCATATTGAGTTGCATTTGTTCCAAATGTCAAGATCCTTGTCTAGGCACTTGTGGCATGAATACAGAGTGTAAAGTTATCAATCATCGTCCTGCATGTACGTGCATTCAAGGTTACAGTGGAAATCCTTTCCACTATTGTATCTTGACTCGTGAAATAGGTACGAACAAAGATATTAATAAATATAGTGAAAAATTTTTTTGCATTTGAAATAAATTTTGATTAATTTAAAAAGTTAATTTTTCATGATATATTGTTTACAAAGAACTTAAAGATTAAAATTTCAAAAATTTCAACTTATTAATAAAAATAAAAATTACTCCTATAGAAGATGAAACGAAATTTAAAGATCCATGCAATCCATCACCCTGTGGACCAAATAGTCAATGTCGCGTGATAAATGGCCAAGGTGTTTGCTCTTGTTTGCCAGAATACAGAGGCACACCTCCTATGTGTCGTCCAGAGTGTGTTCTGAACTCAGAATGTTCTCAAGACCGCGCATGTGTCAATCAGAAATGTGTGAATCCTTGTCCTGCTTCTTGTGGCACATTTGCCACCTGTGTGATCAGGAATCACAGTCCAATCTGTGCTTGCAGAGAATCATACACAGGAGATCCATTCACCATGTGTTTCCCTATTCCACGTAAGATATTTCGACACATCTAAAAATTTTACGATTACCAATCGATTCAATTCTGAATCAAACAAATTCCTGATTTTACCTTTCAGAAGCCTTACCTGTATCAGTCGAAGTTACACAACCATGTCTGCCTTCTCCTTGTGGTCCAAACTCCGAATGTCGTGTAGTTAATAGTGGTCCATCCTGTCAATGTCTAGCTACTTACATTGGAAGTCCTCCAAACTGTAGACCAGAATGTATCATCAACTCTGACTGTCCTAGTAATAGAGCTTGCATCAGACAGAAATGTACAGATCCTTGTCTAGGATCTTGTGGAGTTGGCACTCAGTGTAGCGTGATTAATCACGTACCTATGTGTACCTGTCTTCAAGAATACACTGGAGATCCCTTTACAAATTGCTATCCAATGCCACCACAATGTAAGACTTCTTTTATTCAGAAATCGATTAATTGATGATTTCTATATTTAAAAAATTCTTGCAGTGCCACCCTCTGAATCAGACCCTTGCAATCCATCACCCTGTGGACCAAACGCTCAATGCAATGCAGGAATATGCACATGTTTACCGAATTATCAAGGTGATCCGTACACTAGCTGTCGTCCTGAATGTGTTCTCAACAATGACTGTCCTTTGAATAGAGCTTGTGTTCGAAACAAGTGTGTGGACCCGTGTCCAGGCACTTGTGGTAGGAACGCAATTTGCAATGTCCTGAATCATATACCCATGTGTTCTTGTCCAGCAGGAATGGCTGGTAATGCTTTCATTTCCTGTGAAAGAGTCGAAGGTATGATTAATAAAAAAAGTTATTTTTACAGAAAAATTTGAGAATAAAAAAAATCACATTGTTCCTAATTTAGAACAAGTACAGGTAAATCCCTGTAATCCATCTCCTTGTGGACCTAACAGTAAGTGCAGAACTATAAATAGTCAAGCAGTGTGTTCCTGTGTGTCAGGATTTCTTGGCAATCCGCCTAATTGCAGACCGGAATGTGTGATTAGTTCAGATTGTCCTAGGAATCAAGCTTGCAATAATCAGAAGTGCATCGATCCTTGCTCTGGTACTTGCGGGTGGAAGGCATTGTGCCAGGTTGTCAATCACAATCCTGTGTGCAGTTGTCCTTCCGGTTTCACTGGAGATCCTTTCTTTAGATGTGAATTTATCAGTAAGAACCATTATCTTTCCTTTTGTTTTCGAAAAAAATTAGTAACAAATTCCTAATATACATTACATTTATTATTTCGATAGCTGTAAGACCATCACAGGAAGATACATGCGCTTCTTGTCAATGTGGTCCCAATTCCATATTCCAAACGATCAACGACAAATCGTCTTGTGCCTGTTTGCCCGATTTTATCGGTTCCCCGCCAAATTGTAGACCAGAGTGCGTGAGCAATAGCGAATGCTCGAGTAATTTGGCTTGCATCAATCGCAAGTGTAAAGATCCTTGTCCAGGCTCGTGTGGTTCCAACACGGAGTGTCGAGTAGTCAGTCATACACCGATGTGTGCCTGTTTAACTGGTTTTACAGGCGATCCCTTTGCGCAGTGCATACCGAAACGACGTAAGATTTATTATACTTTACAAAATCTTAAAAAATCCATGGTCAAAGCTTTTAAAATAGGCAGTCTATTTTCAAGGAAAAACAAAATAAATTGGACACAATATAGAAACACAAACAATAGAACAACAAAATACTCTGAACATGAAATTTTACAATCTCTAATGTTCTCCAATTGTTAACTTTACCTGAATTTAGTACATATGGTAGTTACTATAATTAACACCTGGGTAGCTACAAGTTGATGCTATAACCGTATTAACACCCAAATCAAACGTTAAACTCGTTCTGTGACTCGTTTTGTAGCCGAGATCGAGCTCACGCCACAATCCCCATGCATCCCATCGCCCTGTGGCCCGAACGCCATATGCAAAGAACAAAATGGAGCCGGCTCGTGCACTTGTGCTCCAGATTATATAGGCAACCCGTACGAAGGATGTCGACCCGAATGCACAGTAAATTCTGACTGTCCTTCGAACTTGGCATGTATTAGATCTAAATGTCAGAACCCCTGTCCCGGTACCTGTGGATCAAATGCTGATTGCACGGTGATCAATCACCTGCCCAGCTGCACTTGTCTGGCTGGATTCACGGGAGATCCTTTTGTGAACTGTTACGTTCAACCGGCAGTTCTCCGTAAGTTTGAATTAAAGTAAATTTGATTATTCATCATCGTCATTGATCACAAGCGACTTAGAAAGATTTAACGAAGATTTAACGTTAGAAATGCTTCCTCATCACTTTCATCTTAATACGCCAAATGGCGAATGCGAATGATTAATCCACTAATGTATGATTTAGGATTTAATATTTTGAAGAAAATTTCATAAAGATGTAATATAAAAAAGAAATAATCAATCTTGATTATACGTTACTTGCAGCTGATCTACAAAAAAATCCTTGTAACCCCTCGCCCTGTGGACCCAATAGTTTGTGCCGCGTGAATAATGACCAAGCTGTGTGCTCTTGCCTATCTGACTACGTAGGCAGTCCCCCTGGATGTCGACCGGAATGCGTAGTTAGCTCAGAATGTCCTTTGAACAAAGCTTGCGTCAATCAGAAATGTACAGACCCTTGTCCTAATCGCTGTGGTACTAATGCGGATTGCAGAATCGTGAACCACAGCCCTATTTGCGCTTGCAAACTGGATTTCACCGGAGATCCCTTCACCAGATGTTTCCCCACGCCAAGTAAGACGAATTTTCGTGATTAAGAAATTATTAGAGAGACTGCTTTTATTATTAACGTATGGATCGATAGACTGATTCAGATAACTAAAACTGTCTATCTTCATTAAATGAAAATGAAAGCAATATTAATTTTCATTTAAAGAAGAAATAGTTTCAGATTTCAGAATCTTTATTTTATCTGCTTAACTTATCTGATTAACCTCATCCATATCTTAAATGAAAGATATATAACCAGATTAAAACTACCCCAAATTAATTGCTCAAGTAGAAGATTCTCTAATACTTAACAGGGGATGAAAAAGTGATTACTAAACCAAAAGAAACATAAGAAAAATTCTTTTCAGAACCATCACCAACCTTAATTGAAAACCCTTGTGTACCATCCCCTTGTGGCCCGAATTCAGAGTGCCGTGATATCGGAGGTTCTCCTTCTTGTTCCTGTTTGCCAAATTATATGGGCAGTCCACCGAATTGTAGACCAGAGTGCACCATAAATCCCGATTGTCCTAGCAATCGAGCATGCATGAACGAAAAATGCAGTGATCCATGTCTTGGCTCTTGCGGATTCGGCGCTATTTGCAACGTAATCCATCATACCCCTGCGTGCTCTTGTCCCGAAGATTTCACCGGTGATCCATTTAACAGCTGTCAACCATTACCACCTGAACGTAAGATTTTTCTTTCACAATTCAGAGAACGTATTTTCATATATTTTTTTCTATTTATTTTTTGATATTTTAATTTATCTGGAAATTGAATAATTTTTTCGAATTAATTCGATAGATTATTGCAATGATTTTACAGCGATAAAAGATGTTCCGTCAGATCTTTGCAATCCTTCACCTTGTGGCCCGAACGCAGAATGCAATAATGGTATCTGCACTTGCCTTCCCGAGTATCGTGGAAACCCGTACGAACTCTGTCGCCCTGAATGCGTGTTAAATAACGATTGTCCTCAGAATAAAGCTTGTGTTCGCAACAAATGTATCGATCCTTGTATAGGCACTTGTGGACAAAATGCAATTTGCAATGTATACAACCATGTTCCTATGTGCAGTTGTCCTAGTGGAATGTCTGGAAATGCTTTCGTCCTATGTATCGTTTTGAAAGGTGCATATCCCAATACATTCTATTTTAATTAATTTCATTTTAATCCTTTTTTCGATTTATATAATTCGATATTTCTTCTTAGAACCACTTGGAGCAGTAGATCTTTGTAGACCATCTCCTTGCGGACCCAATAGTCAGTGTCGTGTTGTGAATCAACAAGCGATTTGTTCTTGCGTTCAGGGATATCTGGGAGCTCCGCCATCTTGCAGACCAGAGTGCGTGGTCAGTTCAGACTGTCCACGAAATCTGGCTTGTAATAATCAGAAATGTATCGACCCTTGTACTGGTACTTGTGGTTTGAGAACCCAATGTCAGGTGGTGAATCATAATCCTATTTGTAGCTGTCTTCCAAGGTACTCTGGAGATCCTTTTACCAGATGTGATCTTATAAGTAAGGAATATTCACGATGAATTAATCTTTTTGTTGAATATTAGTCTAGTCTTAAATTGAAAATTTTATTTATTAGTTGAAACACCTCCTGAGTCCGTCAACCCTTGTCAACCATCTCCTTGTGGACCAAACGCTCAATGTCGCGTGGTGAACGATTCACCTTCTTGCACGTGTTTGCCAGAATTTATTGGATCACCACCGAATTGTAAACCTGAATGTGTTAGTAACAGCGAGTGTGCTTCCCACCTTGCTTGCATGAACAAAAATGTCGAGATCCATGTCCTGGTGCTTGTGGATCGAACACAGACTGTCGTGTTGTTAGCCACACTCCTATGTGTGTCTGCTTGAATGGATATACCGGAGATCCTTTCACTCAGTGTGTGATTCAAAAACGTAAGCATTTATTGTTCATCATATACGGTTAAAAATACTATTTAAATTATTAGAATCAATGTGAATGCAACGCATATTATCGTAGCCATTCTTATCGAAAACGAGTCACCCTGTACACCGTCACCCTGTGGAGCAAACGCGATATGCAAAGAGCAATCCGGAGCAGGTTCTTGTACATGTTTATCAGACTATATCGGAAATCCTTACGAAGGATGTCGTCCAGAGTGTACTGTCAACTCTGATTGTGTCTCGAATATGGCTTGCATACGTTCTAAATGCCAAGATCCTTGTCCAGGAACTTGTGGTCAAAATGCAATTTGTCAAGTGATCAATCATTCACCAGCATGTACTTGTATACCTGGATTCACTGGTGATCCTTTTAGATATTGCAATCCCATTGTTCAAACGGGTAATTACAAATTTTCATATCACATATCAATTCAAATATAAACATTCAAATTAAAAAAAAGAAATTAAATCTTATCTTCGAATCTTTTGAAATTAGAACTAATTCTAAGAGAGCCTTGCAATCCATCCCCCTGTGGACCAAACAGTCAGTGTCGCGTCATGAACAATCAACCTGTCTGTACTTGTCTACCAGAATACATTGGAAGTCCTCCAGGATGTCGACCAGAATGTGTAATGAGTTCAGAATGTCCATTGAACAGAGCTTGCATGAACAATAAATGTATAAATCCTTGCCCTCAGCCTTGTGGATCGAATACTAATTGTATGGTACTCAATCATAGTCCCATATGTAGTTGCAAGCAAGGATTCACTGGAGATCCTTTCAGTAGATGTTTCCCTGTGCCACGTAAGACAAATGAATAACTCTATTTTTATTTTTTTATACGCGTGATAATTCGTGTTTTAGCTTTTAATATGAAATTCTTTTAGAACTTGCACCTGGTCCGGTTGTTCAAAATCCCTGTGTACCTTCACCCTGTGGACCATACGCAGAATGTCGCGATATTGGTGGTGCGCCATCCTGTTCTTGTCTTAAATCCTATATCGGTAGTCCACCAAATTGTAGACCCGAATGTACTATCAATTCTGAATGTGCTAGTAATCAGGCTTGCATAAACGAGAAATGTAGAGATCCTTGTCCAGGTTCCTGTGGATTATCAGCTATCTGTAACGTGATTAATCATACACCAGCTTGCACATGTCCGGAAGAATTCACGGGAGATCCTTTCAATAATTGTTATCTTAAACGTAAGAAATTTTCTGAAAAATTTAATTGACTTTTCAATTTTCTTTTTCATATTTATAATCAAGATTATACAATTTTCCTCCCTTTCTTTATATTATTAAATTCGTATTTGTCATTAGAATTTCTTTAAAAATATTTTTTAATAATTTAGCGATGGAAGAACCATCAAGACCTGTAGATCCTTGCAACCCCTCCCCTTGCGGTCCAAACGCGATATGCACAGATGGTAGCTGCACTTGTCTCTCAGACTACCAAGGAGATCCTTATATAGGTTGTCGACCAGAATGCATCCTTAACAACGATTGTCCTTTATCTCGAGCTTGCATTCGCAATAAATGCGTAGATCCATGTCCCGGAACTTGTGGTGAAAATGCACAGTGCAACGTATACAATCATATTCCTATGTGCAGCTGCTTGCCTGGAATGACAGGAAACGCTTTTCTTTCTTGTCGTCCAAGTAGAGGTATGTGTCGATTCGTTAATTATATTAGAATTCAAGGATTCTTTTTTTTCAATATCATCAATTTTAGGCCCCGAAGATCCCTGTAATCCTTCACCCTGTGGATCCAACAGTATCTGTCGCGTGATAAACGAGCAAGCAGTATGTTCTTGTGTGCCCAGTTTTATAGGAACACCTCCTTCCTGTAGACCAGAGTGCACCGTGAGTTCAGATTGTCCAAAAAATCAGGCGTGCAGCAATCAAAAATGTATAAATCCTTGCGCTGGTTCATGTGGTGTCATGGCTAAGTGTCAAGTGATTAATCATAATCCAATTTGTAATTGTCCAGCCGGTTTCACAGGCGATCCTTTTGTGAGATGCGAACCTAAAAGTGAGCATAATTTAATCATCGATAAGTTAACACATTCAATATAGTACTAAAAATCGAAGAAAATTTTTGGTGATAAATAGATTTTGATTTTTTCAAATGTACAAAAAATTGTATATATAAACAATCAGTAAATGAAATATTAAATATAATTAAAAAACTAGCAAATTGAATACATGCAAATTTTTTTGCACTTCTTACATTTCTTACAACAAAAATCCATTATGTGAATGTCATGTCATCCATTATATGTAAATAGGAAAATATTCATGATATCAATCATATTGAATGTGTTAATTTTAATCATATAGGTTCTCGTAATGAAAAATTCGTCTTCGTTTCAGTTGAAAGGCCAGAATTACCTATTAATCCGTGTCAACCATCACCATGCGGACCCAATGCGATCTGTCAGACAATAAACGATTCACCTTCCTGCTCTTGTATGCCTGAATTTGTCGGATCACCACCTAATTGTAAACCAGAATGTATTAGTAACAATGAATGCGCTAGCAACTTAGCGTGTGTGAACAACAAATGTAAAGATCCTTGTGCTGAATCCTGTGGATCTAATACTGAGTGTCGCGTAGTAAGCCATACTGCCATGTGCGTGTGTTTGATCGGTTATGAAGGCGATCCATTTATTCAGTGTACTTTGAAAAAGAGTAAGACATTCTATAGATATTTTGAAGATAAATTGATTTTAGTTTTGAATAGTAAAATTTATTTCTTTCGAATTTTAGCTGACATACAATCGACTGTTTCTACTCCATGCACTCCATCACCCTGTGGTTCAAATGCTGTTTGCAAAGAACAAAGTGGAGTTGGTTCATGTTCTTGTTTACCCGATTATATAGGCAATCCTTATGAAGGTTGTCGACCAGAATGTATCATGAATTCTGATTGCGTATCTACTCGCGCTTGTATTCGTTCTAAGTGTCAGGATCCTTGTCCTGGTGCTTGTGGCATGAATGCCGAGTGCCAGGTTGTCAATCATTTACCACAATGTAATTGTTTCCCCGGTTACACTGGTCAGCCTTATCAATTCTGTCAATTGATTACAACACAATTTGGTAAACAGATTCTTCGTTTAATTTTCTTTTGATTTATTTTTTTAATTTAATATTCAAAATTTTCATAAGTCCTATTCTTTTAATAATAGAAGATAAGAAAGATCCATGTTCTCCATCGCCCTGTGGACCGAATAGTAAATGCCAAGTAATTAATGATCAGGCAGTTTGTTCTTGTCTACCAGAATTTACTGGTTCACCTCCTGGATGTCGACCAGAATGTGTAGTCAGTGCAGAATGCCCATCGAATTTAGCCTGTATTAATCAGAAATGCATAAACCCTTGTCCTGGACCATGCGGCACCAACGCAGAATGCAATGTTATTCACCATAGTCCTATCTGTGCCTGTAGACAAAAATATACCGGTGACCCATTCAGTCGTTGTTTCCCTATGCCAGGTGAGAGAAATTTTTTTGAATATCTTAAAACTTTTAATCTTATTATTCATTTAAACAAAAGATTCTAATTTCTTTGGGATATTTTGTCTATTATTTTTAGAATCTCTACCAGTTCCGGTACCATTTAATCCATGCATTCCATCGCCTTGTGGTCCAAACGCAGAATGTCGCGATAGCAATGGCATATCTTCTTGTTCCTGTTTACCAAACTTTATAGGAAGCCCTCCAAATTGTCGTCCAGAATGTACAGTGAACTCTGATTGTTCTCTTAATCAAGCCTGTATGAGAGAGAAATGCAAAGATCCTTGTCCTGGTTCTTGTGGTACTTTTGCTCAGTGTACCGTAATGAATCATGTACCAGTTTGTAGTTGCATCGAAGGTTATACTGGAGATCCATTTACAAACTGTTATCCTAAACCACTACCACGTGAGGCATTAATCTTTCACATCCAATTTTATAAAATATTTCATATCAGTCATTTTATATTTCTAACTTTTAGAACCAACAATTTCTGAAGATCCTTGCAATCCATCACCCTGTGGATCAAATACAGAGTGTAACAATGGCATTTGTACTTGTTTAGCTGAATATAGAGGAGATCCCTATAGAGGATGTAGACCCGAGTGTGTTCTCAATACGGATTGTCCCACGAATCAAGCTTGTGTTCATAATAAATGCACTGATCCTTGTGTCAACACTTGTGGACAAAATGCCATATGCAATGTCTTCAATCATATTCCTATGTGCAGTTGTCCTTCAAGCATGAGTGGCAATGCTTTCATACTCTGTTCCCCAATTCAAGGTAGATAAAATCGAGTAAGGATCAAAATTCTATCAAAACAATATTTATTACCAATATTCTTTAGATGTAGCTCCAACAACGCCCTGTAATCCATCCCCATGTGGTCAGAATAGTCAATGTCGTTCGATAAATGGCCAAGCAGTCTGCTCTTGCGTATCTGGTTACATAGGAAGTCCTCCATCTTGTAGACCAGAATGCGTAGTTAGCTCAGATTGCTCCAGAAATGAAGCATGTAGTAATCTAAAATGTGTAAATCCATGTGTGGGAACCTGTGGCATCCAAGCACAGTGTCAGGTCATTAATCATAATCCCATATGCAGTTGTCCTGCAGGATTTTCCGGAGATCCGTTCCTCAGGTGCAATCCTATCAGTAAGGATTTTTTTTTAAATTTTCAAATAGAATCACCTCACATATTCATCAATCTAACCGAATTATAAAATTTTAGTGGAAACCAAACCAGAAATTATAAACGTATGCAAGCCATCACCATGTGGTCCTAACGCTCTGTGCCAAGTAATAAATGATTCGCCATCTTGCACCTGTTTACCAGGATTTATTAACTCTCCACCAAATTGTCGTCCGGAATGTGTCAGTAATAGCGAATGTTTGACACATCACGCTTGTATAAATCAAAAATGCAAAGATCCATGCCCTGGTTCCTGCGGAGAGAATGCAGACTGTCGTGTAGTCAGTCACACACCCATGTGTGTTTGTTCCATTGGATATACGGGTGACCCGTTCACGCAATGCGTTTCATTCCAAGAATGTAAGAGATCTAAACGCTTATTTAATTTTGATTCGTAGATTGATTTGTTTTACATCTATTTTATTTTATCGTGTAGCGATACCAACTTCCCCTTGCACACCATCGCCCTGCGGTTCGAACGCTATTTGCAAAGAACAAAATAGAGTGGGATCTTGTGCCTGTTTGCCTGAATATATTGGCAATCCATACGAAGGATGTCGACCAGAGTGCACTGTTAGTTCAGACTGTCCCTCGAATCTTGCCTGCATAAGAAACAAGTGTCAAAATCCTTGTCCTGGAACGTGTGGACAGGATGCTATTTGTCAAGTGATTAATCATTCGCCAACTTGCACTTGTGTACCTGGTTTCACGGGTGATCCGTTTAGATATTGTCAACTTATGAGAGAACCTGGTAATGTATATATAATACAAGTGAAGTAAATATTATATATTTTGATCCTTAGAAAGCAAACAGGGTCCATTATCCCGCCATGAAATTTTCTCAAATTCTATACCAAGATTAATATTGAACTTTATTAAATATTTTCTAACGTTAAAATAATTTAATTGAAGGAAATGTTTATCAAAATTATTAAACTTATGGAAGACCCAAGTTACCCAATTTGAAACACTAAGGATTAAAATTATTATATAATCGCAATATTTCAATTTAAATCATTCATATTTCTCAGACAAATCCGAAGATGAGACAAACCCGTGTATTCCATCGCCCTGCGGGCCGAATAGTCAATGCCGCGTGGTTTCCGGTAACGCGGTATGTTCTTGCCTACCAGAGTACACTGGAAATCCTCCCTCGTGCCGTCCAGAATGTGTCGTGAGCTCAGATTGCCCCTCGAATAGAGCCTGCATGAATCAGAAATGTGTGAATCCTTGTCCACGACCTTGTGGACAAAACACTAACTGTCTAGTCGTAAATCACAGTCCAATTTGTACCTGCAAAGAAGGAAACACTGGAAATCCGTTCACTAGATGTTTCTCTCTTCCAAGTGAGTCTCTCTCTCTCTCTCTTTTTTTCGATATTTCTTTTTCTCTAGAAAATATTCATTTAACAATTGTTAATTGCATAGCTCAACCAATGTTACCTGATCTACCTCAGAATCCCTGTGTACCATCCCCCTGCGGACCATATTCTGAATGTCGAGATATCGGTGGCGCCCCTTCTTGTTCCTGTTTAGCTAATTATTTCGGTAGTCCACCGAATTGTAGGCCAGAATGTACCGTAAACTCGGATTGTCCAAGTGATAGAGCGTGCATCAGACAGAAATGCATTGATCCTTGTCCTGGATCTTGCGGTTTATCCTCACAATGTACGGTTTTCAATCATGTTCCGGTTTGTACATGTCTGGAGGGATTCACTGGTGATCCTTTCAGCAACTGTTCTCCTGCTCCACGTAAGAATTGTTTTAATAAACATCATGATAAAAATATTCTCTTGATTAGATAGTTAATTAAATTTTAATGATAATTGTTAGCCGTTGAAACAGTTCCTGAAGATCCGTGCAATCCATCACCTTGTGGTCCAAATGCGCAGTGCAATAATGGTGTTTGTACGTGTTTGGCAAAATATCAGGGCGATCCTTATTTAGGTTGTCGACCAGAATGTGTTCTTAATACAGATTGTCCTTTGACTCAAACTTGTCTACGTAACAAATGTGTTGATCCTTGTATCGGTACTTGTGGCCAAAATGCAGTTTGCAACGTGTACAATCACGTACCAATGTGTAGTTGTCCTGCTGGAATGACAGGCAATGCATTTGTTTTCTGTAATCCATTCAGAGGTATAATAATCATAAGAAAATTAAAATCATAAAAAAATCTACAAGGATTAATCGATTCTTCTTTTCTATCAATCAGATCCTCTTGTGACGAATCCATGTAACCCATCACCTTGCGGACCGAATAGTCAGTGTAGAGAAGTGAACGAGCAAGCTGTGTGCACTTGCATTCCTGGTTTCGTTGGTATTCCACCGACTTGTAGACCAGAATGTGTAGTGAGCACAGATTGTGGACCCACAGAAGCTTGTATAAATCAAAAATGCAATAATCCGTGTATCGGATCATGTGGAATCAGAGCAATTTGTCAAGTAGTCAATCATAATCCGATTTGCAGTTGCTCTGTTACAATGACTGGTGATCCATTTGTCAAGTGTATTGAGAAACGTGAGAATATTTAAAAAATTGATTACTTACAGTCAAATATCAATGAATATCTTAAAAAGCATTATTAAAATTGAATTTTTATTTTAGCATTAGAAGTACCACCGCAACAGAATCCTTGTGAACCATCTCCTTGTGGTCCAAATGCGCAATGTCAAGTTATCAATAATTCTCCATCGTGTTCTTGTTTGCCAGAATTCACTGGTTCATCACCTAATTGTAGACCAGAATGCATAAGTAATAACGAGTGTCCAAGTAACTTAGCATGCATCAACCAGAAATGTAGGGACCCTTGTCCAGGTTCCTGTGGTGAAAATGCTATATGCAACACAGTATCTCACACACCAATGTGCACATGTTCCTCAGGATACACTGGAGATCCATTCACTCAGTGTGTCTTGCAACAACGTAAGAATTTCGTTCTCTTTTCCATATCTTTTTTTTCAAAACGATATTCAAATTAATAAATTAATTATCAAACTTTTTAGTTATTCCAATGTACATTCCTCAACCCTGTGTACCATCTCCTTGTGGAGCAAATGCAATCTGTAAGGAACGAAACGGAGCAGGATCATGCTCTTGTTTGCCAAGCTATATAGGTAATCCCTATGAAGGCTGTCGGCCGGAATGTGTGTTAAATTCAGATTGTGTACCAAGCAAGAATTGTGTTCAATTTAAATGCGAGGATCCTTGTCCCGGTACATGTGGTCAGAATGCAGTTTGTCAAGTGATTAATCATGTGGCTACTTGTAATTGCTTGCCTAGATTTACCGGAGATCCTTTCAGATTTTGTAGAGAAGAAGAGATAGGTACGTGAAGAAAAAATATCTCTTACAGACAAAGATTTTATGAAAACTTTTTGTTCAAAACAGTCACTTCACCGACTGTGAAAAATCCTTGTCAACCATCACCTTGTGGAGCAAACAGTGTCTGTAAAGAGAACAATGGACAGGCAGTGTGCTCGTGCTTGCCTGAATTCCGTGGTTCTCCACCAGGATGTAGGCCAGAATGCGTGGCTAGCGCAGAATGTTCTTTTGATCGAGTTTGCGTAAATCAGAAGTGCATCGATCCTTGTCCTGATCCTTGTGGAAGAAACGCGGTTTGCAGAGTTATCAATCGTAATCCTATCTGTTCTTGCCAACAAGGATTTACCGGAGATGCTTTCACTATCTGTTTTCCTGTTCCACGTTCGTATTATCGATTTATTTTAAAAAAAAATTTTATAACTTTATCTAATTATTTTTCTTGAATTCTGTAGGTCCATCACCAGAGTCTTTAATACCTGTGCAACAAGATCCTTGTCTTCCATCTCCTTGTGGTCCATACTCACAGTGTCGAAATATTGGAGGAAATCCCTCTTGTTCTTGTTCGCCATCTTATATCGGTGTTCCACCAAATTGCAGACCAGAGTGTACTATAAACGCAGAATGTTTGTCTGCACTCGCTTGTATTCGCGAAAAGTGCTCTGATCCTTGTCCAGGATCATGTGGTGTTGGTGCACAATGCACTGTTGTTAATCATGTCCCGATTTGTTCTTGTCTTGAAGGATATACTGGAGATCCATTTAGCAGCTGTATTCCGAAACCATTTATATGTAAGAATTCTTTTTTGAATTTGAAATTGGCTATTCATAGAATGATTTCAGAATAAAATTTAAATTTGAGTAATTTTACTTTACAATTTTTTAAAATAATCAAAAATTATTACATTCTGATTATATTCTTTCCATTTCTTATTCAAAAATTCAAAAATATCTGAAATCATCAAGAATATGCTTTTAAACTTTTATATAACTATTCTTATATAATATATATCTATCTTATATAATATATCTATCTTATATAACTATTATTAACAACTTCAACTTACACATAGCCGAAGAACCAGTGTTAGATCCCTGCAATCCTTCACCATGTGGAGCAAATGCGCTTTGTCGCGATGGTTCTTGCACGTGTCTTCCGGAATTCCAAGGTGATCCTTATAGTGGTTGTCGACCAGAATGTGTGATGAATACTGACTGTGCTCGTGACAGAGCATGTATAAGAAACAAATGCATAGATCCATGTATAGGAACTTGTGGACAGAACGCACAATGCCAGACGATTAATCACATTCCCATGTGTAACTGTCCTATTGGCATGTCCGGAAACGCTTTTGTTTCCTGTTCTCCAGTTCAGGGTACAATATGTTAAATCTTCCTTCATTAATTTCCATAAAATTTAAAATTGAAGATATTAAATTTACATTCTTCTTTTCATTAGAAGATACAATACAAAACCCTTGCACTCCATCACCTTGTGGACCGAATAGTCATTGTCAAGAAGTAAATGGAATCGCAGTTTGCAAATGTATAGAAGGTTTCATGGGCAATCCACCTACTTGTCGACCAGAATGTGTCGTTAGTTCAGATTGCGAGCTTTCCAAAGCTTGTGTCAATCAGAAATGCAGAGATCCTTGTCCCGGAAGTTGTGGTGTAAGAGCAGAATGCTCCGTGGTCAATCATAATCCCATTTGCAGGTGTCCTCAAGGTTTGAGTGGTGATCCTTTCGCTGTTTGTACTGTTATAGGTAAGATATTAGTCATTAAACAAAATATCGTTTAAAGTCTTTTTTTATTATTTTTACTGAATTCGTTTCACAGTCGAAACATCTCCAGAACCGATCAATCCGTGTTACCCATCACCTTGCGGTCCAAATGCTCAATGTCAAATTATGAATCAAGCACCCTCATGCTCGTGTTTGCCAGAATTCACGGGATCCCCGCCAAATTGTAGACCAGAATGTGTTAGCAATAGCGAGTGTTCAACTCGACAAGCTTGTATTAATCAGAAATGCAAAGATCCATGTCCTGATTTATGCGGAGCTAATGCTGAGTGCAGCGTGTTCAGTCATACTCCGATTTGCTCTTGTCGTACAGGATTCACTGGAGATCCTTTTGTTCAATGCAGTCCCCTTCAAAGTAAGTTTGTCCCATTCGATTTTATTTTTAATACTAGAAGTAGAATTTTTTATGATTTTTAATTCACAAGATCTTTAAGTTTTTGTTTTTATAAATTTTTCTTTTCAATTTTATTTGATTTTATACATTTATAGTTGTTGAAGAAAGACCTTCACCTTGTATACCAACACCATGTGGCGCGAACGCGATTTGTAAAGAATCAGGAAATGCAGGTGCTTGCTCTTGCTTGCCTGATTACATAGGAAACCCTTACGAGGGTTGCAGACCAGAATGCGTCGTGAATTCAGATTGTACAGCGAATCTTGCATGCATAAGATCCAAATGCCAGGATCCTTGTCCAGGCACTTGTGGTCCGAATGCCATGTGCAATGTTGTGAATCATTTGCCAGTATGCATTTGTATACAGGGATATACGGGAGACCCATTTAGATATTGCAATTTGAGTCCAATGAAACGTAAGGATTGATTATATTTATTTTTTTGAGAAATTCAAATGATGTAGATATTAAAGAAAAATCAAAGAATATTTTATTTGATTTCATTGAATATCATGTAAAATCTATTATTCTCTGAAATTTTTAAAAATGTATCTTCTATGTCATCTGAATATTCTATATATTTTTAAATACTTTAACTATCATACTCATTTAAAAATCTACATCACTTAATTTCATTTTCCAAATCTATCATTCTCCTATTATATTCTAGAAGAAGATGTGATAGTGAATCCTTGCAATCCTTCACCTTGTGGGCCAAATAGCGAATGTCGCGTAAACAATAATCAAGCAGTCTGTTCTTGTAAATCATCTTACCTTGGCAGTCCACCTAATTGCAGACCAGAATGTGTAGTTAGCACTGAATGCTCTCTGACACGAGCCTGCGTTAATCAGAAATGCATAGATCCATGTCCCAATTCGTGTGGCGTGAATGCCAATTGTAGGATTATTAATCATAGTCCTATTTGTTTCTGCAACAATGGATACACTGGAGATCCTTTCACTGCCTGTTTCCGTGCTCCTGGTACGAAATAAATATTTCTATATTATTAGAAAAAATTAGTATATTATTCTATAATAAGTATTTTTTAAATTCATTGGTTATATTTTTAAAAGTTCCTCCAGAAACTGCACTAACAGTGCAAAGAGACCCGTGTTTGCCATCACCATGTGGACCTAATGCAATTTGCCAGAATGTAGGTCAAACTCCAGCTTGCACTTGTTTGTTAAACTATCGTGGCAGTCCACCAAATTGTAGACCAGAATGTACGATCAATTCTGAGTGTCCTAGTAACCAAGCATGTATCCGAGAAAGATGTAAAGATCCCTGTCCAGGTTCATGTGGTTTTAATGCTCTGTGTACTGTATTCAATCACGTTCCTATGTGTTCATGTATCGAAGGGTACACTGGCGATCCTTTTAATCAATGTAGTCAACAAGTGAAACCTCGTAAGTATTCATTTTCTAAAAAAATTTCTTCAGTTGATATCGATCAATTAGATTGAAATTAAATTCTTTATATTAGCTGAACCAGTAGAGACAGATTTATGTAATCCATCTCCCTGTGGACCTAACACTCAATGCGACAATGGAATTTGTTCTTGTCTGCCCAATTATTACGAAGATTCGACTATTGGTTGTCGACCAGAATGTGTACTTAACAATGATTGCCCTAGAGACAAAGCTTGCATGAGAAATAAATGCGAGGATCCTTGCATTGGAACGTGTGCCAATGATGCAATTTGTAATGTAGTTAATCATGTACCAATGTGCAGCTGTCCACCTGGTTTCGAAGGAAATGCATTTGCATTCTGTCGTCCTGCTATAGGTATTTTATCATAATTTTCTGTTAAATTTGATGAAAAAAATTAATTGATCAAACTTTTCACAAATTGTTATATTTCGATAGCCAATGTTCCATCCAATCCGTGCAGTCCGTCACCTTGCGGACCTAACAGTCAATGTCGATCGAATAATGGCCAAGCAATTTGCAGTTGCGTGTCAGGTTATTTAGGAAATCCACCGAATTGTCGTCCAGAGTGTATAATTAGCTCTGAATGTCCACCAAATGAAATTTGCACAAATCAGAAGTGTAGAAATCCTTGCATCGGTTCGTGTGGTTTGGAAGCTCGTTGCACAGTTGCAAATCGTAATCCTATTTGTCATTGTCCTGAAGGATTCACGGGTGATCCATTCGTTAGATGTTTTTTACTTCGTAAGTTTTCTTTTAATTATCATACGAATACTCTAAAAAGATTCAGTTTCAATATTTTAATGAAATTTGTAGCATCAGTTCCACCAGAACCGATAAACGTTTGCCAACCTTCACCTTGTGGACCCAATGCTCAGTGTCAAATATCAGAAAATTCATCTTCCTGCATATGTTTACCTGATTTTATCGGTTCTCCACCGAATTGCAGACCTGAGTGTATCAGCAATAGCGAGTGTCCGAGTTATCAAGCTTGTGTGAACCAAAAATGTAAAAATCCTTGTATTGGTTCATGTGGAGAGAATGCACAATGTCGTACTGTCAGTCACACGCCTATGTGCTATTGCGAAACCGGTTATACCGGTGATCCATTCATGCAATGCTTTATTAAGCCCAGTAAGCTTTCCAAATTTACTTGAAATTTTTATTAATATTATTAGATTATTGCAAAAAAATATAAAATATATTTAAAATAAAGTCATCATCAATTAAATGTTATTATTTCAATCAAAATATAATATTTAAAAAATTTTAGAAAATTTTTTTGCAGCCATCTAATAATTTATTATCTAAAAATTTAAATTAACAGTTGGAAATTTCTATTAAAGAGAATTAATTGACAACATTCATTACAATTTTAGTCGAGGATACATCGATAAAAGTAAATCCATGCTTACCCTCTCCTTGCGGGCCTAATGCGAGATGCACCGAAAGAAACAACGTAGGCTCTTGCGCGTGTCTCTCGGGCTACATAGGAAATCCGTACGAAGGGTGCAGGCCAGAATGTATTCTAGACTCCGATTGTTCACCCACTCGTGCCTGTATTAATTCAAAATGTGTCGATCCGTGTCCAGGAACGTGTGGAACCAATGCAGAATGCCGCGTAATCAATCATCGAGGTTCTTGCACCTGTTTCTCTGGTTATACCGGTGATCCCTATCAATATTGTTCTATCCAACCTATTGGTAAGTCCAGGTTGCTCTTAACTTTCTATCAATCATCGCAGAAAAAAATTATTCAATGCGAAATTCTTCAGTTTCTGATGTCCCTGTAAGCGATCCCTGTGGAAGTAGCCAATGCGGTCCTAATAGTCAATGCAGGGTGATTAATCAAGTGGTTGTTTGCTCATGCATGCCGAATTATATTGGTACTCCTCCAGCTTGTAGACCGGAATGTGTTACCAGCTCGGAATGTACTATTGACAAAGCGTGTGTAAATCAAAAATGCGTAAATCCGTGCCCTACCTCTTGTGGAAAGAACTCCGATTGCAGAGTGATCAATCATGCGCCTTTGTGTAATTGCATGAGAGGATATACTGGTGATCCGTTCTCTATCTGTTTTCCTATTCCATGTAAGTAGAGAGTACCGTGTTTTCTATATTTTTCTTGAATCAATTGATAGTGAATTATTAAACAGTGATTGTCAAATATAATTACGATAGAATTAAATTTATTATACTTTTATATTTCTAGTGACACCACCTGTTCAATTTGATCTTGTACCGAAAGATCCTTGTATTCCATCTCCTTGTGGTGCTTATTCAGAATGTCGAAACATTGGTAATATACCATCCTGTTCCTGTTTGGCCACATATATCGGAAACCCACCGAATTGTCGACCAGAATGTACTATAAATTCAGACTGTCGTCCAAGTCAGGCTTGCATGCAACAAAAATGCAGGGATCCTTGTCCTGGATCTTGTGCTCCTTTAGCTCAATGTTCCGTTGTCAATCATATACCAACTTGTTCTTGTCTGCCTGGTTACACTGGAGATCCTTTCACCAATTGTTTTGTTCAACCAAGTAAGGAATTAGATGTAAATTTTAAATCGTTTGAAACTTCTGTAAGATTTTTTCCTTCATTACCATGATATTAAATTATTGTAAATTATTTCATTAGCACTACCTATTGAAACTGATCCATGTGCATCTTGTGGGTCAAATGCACGCTGTGATAATGGCATTTGCTCTTGTTTGCCCGAATATTCTGGTGATCCATACGCAGGTTGCAGACCGGAATGTGTTCTAAGTAACGAATGTCCAATTAACAGAGCTTGCGTTAGAAATAAATGTATCGATCCTTGTGTTGGTATTTGTGGACAGAATGCATTGTGCAATGTGTTCAATCATGCACCTATGTGCAGTTGTCTTCCGGGAATGTCAGGAAACGCTTTCGTGCTCTGTTCACCTCTTCAAGGTATGTCACACACGTGAATAGAATTTTTTGACCTGTATATTAGATGAAAGAATCGTTATAATATAATTTTTGAAATAATTTTAGCAACCGAAGTCAGTGATCCTTGCAATCCATCACCCTGTGGTCCTAACAGTCGATGCAGACAAAATAATATGCAAGCTACATGCTCTTGCATAAGTGGATATATAGGAGCACCTCCTACTTGTAGACCAGAATGTGTGATTAGTTCTGATTGCTCATTAAATGAAGCTTGTATTAATCAAAGATGTAGAAATCCTTGTGAAGGAGGCTGTGGATTAAATGCAATTTGTAATGTCGTGAACCACAATCCTATATGCTCATGTAGAGAAAAGATGACTGGTGATCCTTTCCTCAGATGTTATCCAATACGTAAGCATTACGAAAATCATAGTAAAATAGATCTGATTTTTTATTTTTTAATTGAGATTAATTTTTTTTTATAAATATTAAAGCTGAAAGACTTCCAATTCCGATCAATCCTTGTCAACCATCTCCTTGTGGACCAAACGCGGAGTGTCAAGTGCTCAATGATCAACCATCCTGCTCGTGTCTTCTAGAATTTATAGGATCACCACCTAACTGTCGCCCAGAGTGTGTTAGCAATAGCGAATGTCCTAATCGATTAGCATGCATCAAACAAAAATGTCAAGACCCTTGTATAAATTCTTGTGGAGTGAATGCGATTTGTAACGTTGTTAGTCACACTCCAATGTGTGCTTGCATTGATGGTTATAGTGGAGATCCATTTACACAATGTATTCCACAGCAATGTAAGAATTGATGTTCATTTGATGTCTTCTATACAGAGTTTGGTACAGTCAAGCAGAAAGCTTTTCAAAATTAATGTAAATCATGTAAAATGATTGGATAGAAAAATTTTCTTTACATCTTCTGCCTGATTATGCCTCTTCTGCATAGGTATTTTTAAAGCCAAAATATGATCATGAAATTTTTCCCATTCTTTTTAGTCGACGATGAAACTAATAGACCAGATCCTTGCACTCCATCTCCATGTGGATCAAATGCAATCTGTCGAGTTCAACAAAATACAGCTTCCTGTTCCTGTCAAGATGATTATATTGGAAATCCTTACGAAGGATGTAGACCCGAATGTACCCTAAGTTCAGATTGTCCATCCAATCAAGCTTGCTTTAGATCTAAATGTAGAGATCCTTGTCCTGGAACTTGTGGTCCAAATGCTCAGTGTTATGTTATTAATCACGCAGCCGTTTGTAATTGTCTTGAACGATATACTGGTGATCCTTTCAATTATTGCAATCTTATCACAGAACGTAAGATAAATTTAAAAACTTAATTTGAGAGAAAAATATCTTGAAGATGAGAAATGACATTGTATCCTCTTGCAGAACCTAAACCTAATCTCGCTAATCCTTGCGAGCCAACACCTTGCGGACCTTATAGTCAATGCAGAGAAATTAATGGTCAAGCCACGTGTTCTTGTCTTCCAACTTATATAGGTGTACCTCCTAATTGTAAACCAGAATGTACAGTTAGTTCTGATTGCTCGTTAAATCTGGCTTGTAAAAATAACAAATGTATTGATCCATGTCCTGATTCTTGTGGTCAACAAAGCACTTGCAGAGTCGTGAACCATAGTCCTATTTGCAGTTGCAAACCAGGCTTCACTGGTGATCCTTTTACATATTGTTTCTTCAATCCACGTAAGCTTTAAATAATTTTTTTCAGAATATCGTTTCAATATTTATAATCAAAGAAATTTCATAATAATTATATGGAATTTTAGCTCCATCCGTTATTGAGACACCTATAGATCCATGTATCAATTCACCTTGCGGGCCCAATTCTGTGTGTCGCAATGTCAATGGTTCTCCTTCGTGCTCTTGCATGCTTAATTATATTGGTGCGCCACCAAATTGTCGTCCAGAATGTATCATCAACACGGATTGTCCCAGAAATCAGGCTTGTATTCGCGAAAAATGCCAAGATCCTTGTCCAGGATCTTGTGGAATTAACAGTATTTGTACCGTATATAATCATGTTCCTATTTGTACATGTTTGGAAGGATACATGGGAGATCCTTTCAATAGTTGTCAACTCAAACCAATAAGTAAGTTACATTAAACACCTAGAATTGATAAAATTTAAACATTGAGATAACCCATAAATATGTGATGTCGAAACAGAAGTAGAAGAACCTGTGATAGATCCATGCAACAAATCTCCTTGTGGTCCCAATGCTCAATGTGATAATGGTATTTGCACTTGCTTGCCAGAATACTTCGGCAATCCATATATCAGTTGTCGACCAGAATGCGTGTTAAGTACAGATTGTTCAAATGATAAAGCGTGTATAAAGAATAAATGTATGGATCCTTGTCCTGGAGCTTGTGGTCAGAATGCTCAATGCAATGTTATCAATCATATACCCATGTGTAGTTGTCCCTCTAATACTGGAGGAAATGCTTTAATAGTATGTTCACCTGTGCAAGGTATATATTCATTCAGATAATTATTATTTATATACTATATAATTACTATTATCCAGTTAATTATTATTTATAACGAAAGATCAGATGATTTATAACAATATTAATTATTGAATCGTAGCTCCTACAAAAACAAAACCATGTAATCCATCCCCATGCGGACCAAACAGTATATGTAGAGAGGTGAACGATCAAGCTGTATGTACTTGTGCTCCAGAATATCTTGGAACTCCACCTTTATGCAGACCAGAATGCTTGATTAGTTCAGACTGTGCTCAGAATCAGGCTTGCTTGAATCAAAAATGTAGAGATCCATGTATTGGAACATGTGGTACTCAGGCAATCTGCTTAGTGGTGAATCATAATCCTGTTTGCTCTTGTCCAGAAAGATATACAGGAAATCCGTTCATCAGATGCGAGATCAGTAAGAAGATGAATAAAATCTTTAAAAATTCTACAGATCAATACAGTTGTACAAAAATTTGATTTTTTTATACAACTAAAGATTTATTAAGCAAACAAAGAATTCTTAAAAATATTAAATAATTCCTAAAGCGTTCTAAGGAATTTCATTTGTAAACAAAATTTGCTTAAAATTTTTAATCTAATAATCAGTAATAGGATTTTAAAATAAAATTACATAATAAAAATTCCCTATTTATAGAAAAAATAGTAGCGCCTACGAACCCTTGTCAACCGTCACCCTGCGGTCCATATTCCCAATGTCAGGTGATCAACGACACCCCATCCTGCAGCTGTCTGACTGAATATATAGGTGCTCCACCAAATTGCAAACCCGAGTGCATATCAAACTCCGAGTGCCCCAGCCACCAAACCTGTATTCGACAAAAGTGCGGAGATCCTTGTCCAAATCTCTGTGGAGAGAGTGCAGAATGCCACGTAACTTATCACGTACCAAACTGTGTTTGTCCTATTGGTTTTACCGGAGACCCTTATACACGTTGCACGATAATAAGTAAGAAATGAACTCCTTAATAAGGAAAGACGAAATTATCGAGTTATTACCTAGATGAAACTAATCCTGATTTTTAACTGTTCTAGCTCGCGAACCGGAACTTTCACCCTGCGCTGAAGGCACTTGTGGCACAAATGCTTTGTGCAGAGAACGAGACGGTGTCGGCATTTGTTATTGCCCCCCTGAATATGTTGGCAACCCATACGTAGGCTGTAGACCCGAATGCGTGATTAACCCTGATTGTCCATCCAACAAAATGTGCGTGCGAAACAAATGCCAAGACCCTTGCCCTGGAGCCTGCGGCTGGAAAGCCGAGTGCTCGGTGGTTAACCATCTGCCTTTCTGCAATTGCCCGCCAGGATTCACTGGCGACCCGCTTATCGCATGCAGTGTGGCTCGTAAGTGGAATCCAACCCTATTTCACAGATATTTTATTTATATTCTTTTAAATTTTTTTCTGCATGTTCCATTTATATCGGAAAAAAATTTTTCCTTTCGTCTAACTTATATTTTTATATTATATATGACCTATCATATATTTTGGAATTAAAAACTTCGATTGTGTTTTACATTGAAAAATATAACTGAATTCAACTTGTTTCCTCAATAGTAGTGTCGCAAGATGTGGATATGTGCAGCCCATCACCTTGCGGACCAAATAGTCAGTGCAAAGAGATATCCGGTCAGGCTGTGTGTTCATGCCTGCCAACTTATGTAGGCACCCCTCCTGGATGCAGACCAGAATGCGTAGCTAGTTCCGAATGTCCTACGCAGCTCGCGTGCAAAGACTACAAATGCACAAACCCGTGTCCGAGTCCTTGCGGCTTGAACACCAAATGCATAGTCGTGAACCATAGTCCCATCTGTAGTTGCATGCCCGGATACAGTGGAGATCCATTCACCACTTGCACACCGATTCCACGTAAGAGTAAAATCCATAACTATCTAAAAAAATTCACGAGCATAAAAAAAGTGAAAAATTTATCATCCTTTACTTTATTCTACTTCTTTTATTTCCTGTTTTTAAAATTTTATGATAGAGATTTTAAGATAATAAAATATATAAAATAATAATCCTCACTTTTAGCTGTCACAATCCCTGGCCCAATGGAGAAAGACCCCTGTGTACCATCCCCATGTGGTAGTTTCGCCCAATGCAGAAACATTCGCAATTCTGCAGCATGCAGTTGTTTAGAAGGTTATACCGGTCAGCCACCGAATTGCAGACCCGAATGCACGATCAATTCCGAATGTCAAAGCGACATGTCCTGTGTCAATATGAAGTGCAGAGATCCTTGTCCCGGTTCCTGTGGCCTTGCTGCTATTTGTACAGTAGTTAACCACATTCCCATATGTAATTGTCCCGAAGGTTTCACTGGAAATCCATTCACTCTCTGTCAATTGCTACCAGCTACACGTAAGAAATCTATCCAACATTCATTTTAAAATCATTTGCATCCGAAGAATATCTTTAGCCTCATTTCAATTCGTTTCATCTTACAGCCATTATATCTACACCAGTAGAGGATGAATGTTCTTTGTCACCCTGTGGACCTAATACAGAATGTTTAAAAGGTGTTTGCACATGTCTGTCAGAATTCCAAGGAAACCCATATTTAGGATGTCGACCCGAGTGCGTGTTAAACACCGACTGCCCTCGCGATAGAGCTTGTTTGCGCAACAAATGTATGGATCCTTGTCCCGGAACCTGTGGTCTGAACGCCATTTGCGCGGTTATCAATCACGTGCCTATGTGCAGCTGCCCTGGAAACATGACTGGCAATGCGTTTAGTCAATGTACTTTTTTGCAAGGTAGTCAACGATCGTAATATTGTTACGAAAGAGAAATTTTTGGCTTTGTAATCCGTGTAATTTTGAAAGATATAGTTCGAAGTGATTGAATAATATATATGGACCCCTAATCAAATTTTCTTTTTGCTTCTATCAGATGTGATACCCATCAATCTATGTAGCCCAACACCTTGTGGGCCGAATAGCGAATGCAGAATCGTAAACGGTCAAGCAGTTTGCTCGTGCATCAAAGGATTTTTAGGAAGCCCACCTACCTGTAGACCCGAGTGCATTGTAAGCACAGATTGCCCGCAAAACGAAGCCTGTAATAATCAGAGATGCACAAATCCATGTCCAGGAGCATGTGGAATCGGAGCCAAGTGCAACGTCATCAACCATAATCCCATATGCAGTTGCCCATTGCGTTTCACAGGCGATCCATTCGTACAGTGCATACCTTTCTGTAAGAATTCATTTTCTCCCTGATTATTCTAATTAATTCTCATTTTACTTGTTCATTATCAAGATTATTTATGACCTACATTTTTTTATATCTTGCATTTTTATTTTAGTGGAAGAACCTGCGATAGATCCATGTAAGCCATCTCCTTGCGGTCCAAATTCTCAATGTCAGGTGATCAACGATTCTCCCTCTTGTTCATGCTTGCCAGAATTCTCTGGTAGTCCACCCAATTGTCGTCCAGAGTGCATTAGCAACAGTGAATGCCCTAGTCAATTTGCTTGTATTAATCAGAAATGTAAAAATCCTTGTATTGGATCTTGTGGATCTGGTGCTGATTGCTATGTCGTCAGTCACACTCCCATGTGTACTTGTTTGAGCGGATACACAGGCGATCCGTTCTCACAGTGCATTTTTAAAGAATGTAAGAATTATTTCTCAAGAGAAAATTTGTCTATTTATAATTTTGAGCATATCATTAATGTCGTATCCAATTTTACAGCAATTATTCCATTGCCCATGCCCATTGATCTCTGTAACCCGTCTCCTTGTGGTTCAAATGCTATTTGTAAAGAATTAAATGGAGCTGGTTCGTGTACCTGTATTTCTAATTATATCGGAAATCCATACGAGGGATGTCGACCGGAATGTTTGTTAAATTCCGATTGCTCTGCTAATCAAGCTTGCATGAATAGCAAATGCCAAGATCCTTGTCCAGGAATCTGTGGTCGTAATGCAGAGTGTCATGTTATCAATCACTTACCAGTGTGCGAATGTTATCCTGGTCACACTGGTAATGCATTTGTCCTGTGTTCACTTATGCTGCCAGGTATATTCTATAAAACAATATTGTGGAAAAAGAATATTGTGAAAAAAGATTTTTAAAAAAAGATTATTAAATATTCCCTTACAGAAGTCGATCAAACGATTAGTCGACCTTGTAATCCATCTCCCTGTGGACCCAACAGCCAATGCAGATCAATCAATGGACAATCTATATGTTCGTGTTTGCCCGACTTCATAGGAAGTCCACCATCCTGTAGACCAGAGTGCACGATTAGTACAGAATGTGCGCCAAATTTAGCCTGTATCAATAAAAAATGCGGTGATCCTTGTCCAGGATCGTGTGGTTCGAATACCAGATGTGAGACCATTAATCACAAAGCAATTTGTGCTTGTCAACCTAGTTTCACTGGTGACCCACTCGTTGCTTGTTTCGAAATGATGAGTAAGTTTCTCAAAATTCACAAATGCATTTATAAAAAATAACTATTCGATCGATTTCATTGCAATATTTATTTCAGTGGAAAGACCATCTCCCTTACCACCAATATATGAGAATCCTTGTGTACCATCCCCTTGTGGACCATATTCAGAATGTCGTAATATAAATGGTCAGGCTTCTTGCGCTTGTTTATCAGAATATATGGGTACACCGCCTAATTGTAGACCAGAATGTATAAGGAATTCAGAATGTCCTAGCAATCAGGCTTGCATTCAGAAAAAATGTCGTTATCCTTGTGAAGGAGTTTGTGGTGTAGGCGCCCAATGTACTGTAACTGATCACATACCCATTTGTACATGTCTCAAAGGATTATCTGGTGATCCTTTCGTCAAGTGTTCGTTTACTCCAGGTACAAATTATTTAATTATATCGAGATTTTTTATTAACATTATTATTTGATATTTAATTTGGTTTATTATTTAATAAATTTAAATGATTAGTGATACAGGAAAAACCTGCGGATTCTTGTGTCAATTGTGGTACAAATACGCAATGTATCAATAGAACTTGTATCTGTCTACCAGAATATCAGGGAGATCCATATTTAGGTTGTCGTCCAGAATGTGTTTTGAACTCAGATTGTCCCAAAGATAAAGCTTGTATTAAAAGCAAATGCAACGATCCATGTGCAGGCATTTGTGGTCAAAATGCATTATGTTCTGTCGTAAATCATATTCCAATTTGCACTTGTCCACCTGGAACTTCAGGAAATGCATTTGTAGTCTGTTCTATCATTCAAGGTTATTATTAATTAATTGATTCAATAATTATTCAATTTTTCCAGAATGATTCCATATTTTATTGAAATTATTTTTGATATTTAAATAGTGCAAACACCGAAAGATCCATGCAATCCATCACCCTGTGGACCCAACAGCCAATGTAGAAAGATAAATGATCAAGCAATTTGCTCTTGCATCCCTGGTTATCTAGATACGCCACCGAATTGTAGACCAGAATGTATTCTTAGTTCAGATTGTCCGTCCAATATGGCTTGTAATAATCAAAAATGCATTGATCCTTGTCCAGGAACTTGTGGAATAAGAGCTGAATGTGTGGTCGTGAATCATAATCCGATTTGTAGTTGCCCACCCGATTTGGTAGGCGATCCTTTCAGAATGTGTCTCAGGAAACGTGAGTATATTTTTTTAATCGCAAGAAACAATTGATTTTTTTTAGAATTTTTTAAACAAAAAAGATTATTTATTTATATTAAATATTTCCTTCGATAGCCGAAGAACCTCAAGTCTTGAATCTATGCGTTCCATCACCTTGCGGTCCAAACAGTCGATGTCAAGTCATAAACGAATCACCTTCGTGTTCTTGTTTGCCTGAATTCCTCGGTTCTCCACCAAATTGCAAGCCAGAATGCATTAGTAATAGCGAATGTTCCACCCATTTAGCTTGTATAAATCAAAAGTGTCGCGATCCTTGTCCTGGTTCCTGTGGTCCCAATTCTGAATGCAGAGTGATTAGTCACACACCCATGTGTGTATGCTCGTATGGTTTCGTTGGTGATCCTTTCATACAGTGTGTTCCAAAACCAGGTAAAAACTATCAAATTGCTATTAGTTATTGTAATCTTTTTAGCAAATGATACAAGAAAAATTATTTAAAATTTAATAGTTTTTGAAGATACCATAGAAAAACCTACCCCATGTGTACCGTCGCCCTGTGGCTCTAACGCAGTATGTAATGAGCTAAACGGTGCAGCATCCTGCAAATGTCTTTCTGATTACATTGGCAATCCCTACGAAGGCTGTCGACCAGAATGTATCATTAATTCCGATTGTACAGCTGATCTGGCTTGTGTTAAATCTAAATGTCAAAATCCTTGTCCAGGATTCTGTGGATATAACGCTATTTGTCAGGTTGTTAATCATGCACCTCTATGCACTTGCCAACCTGGATATACAGGAGATCCATTCGTTCAGTGTAATGTTATTCAAGAGCCACGTAAGTTTAATAATTTAGAAATAAATAGGAAATCAGAAATTTAAATTCTATGACGTAAATATTTTTATAGCAAAACCAGCTGATCCTTGTAGTCCATCTCCTTGCGGTTTAAACAGTCAATGTCGCGTATCTAATGAACAAGCTATTTGTTCTTGTTTGCCTACTTTCATGGGAACTCCACCAATGTGCAGACCAGAATGTACAATTAGTTCCGATTGTGCGACGAATCGTGCTTGCAAGAATCGCAAATGCATAGATCCTTGTCCAGGAATTTGTGGTATTAATGCTAGATGCGAGGCTATCAATCATAGTCCGATTTGCAGTTGTAACATGGGATATACTGGTGATGCTTTTGTCAGATGTTTCAAAGTTCCAAGTGAGTAAATTGCTCTCGATTTTAGCAATAACTTTTAAACAGTTTTTTAAATCTATAAGAATAATTTTTAATTGCAACAAGAACTTTGCTATTTTATTTTTTTTTTAGCTATTCAAATTAGTAGTTCAGACAAACCAATCAATCCTTGCGTACCTTCGCCATGTGGTCCATTCTCTGTCTGTCATATTGTTGGAAATGCGGATTTACCAAGTTGTACTTGTATGGAGAATTATATAGGAACTCCACCGAATTGTCGACCAGAATGCACTATTGATTCAGAATGTGCCAGTAACAGGGCTTGTCTCAGACAAAAATGTACAGATCCTTGTCCAGGTTCCTGTGGTACAGGAGCTCAATGTTTGGTAGTGAATCATATGGCTGTGTGTACTTGTCCTAAGGGTTATACAGGAGATCCATTTGTCAATTGCTTCCTTCAACCTCCTCGTAAGCATTTTGCAAGATGAAATAGAAAAAAATTATTTTGAGACAAGATTTAATCATATTTTTTCTGATAGCTTCATCACCGGTTCTTCAAGATGCTTGTAATCCTTCACCATGCGGATCAAACGCAATGTGTCGCGATGGTGTATGCACCTGTTTACCAGAATATCATGGTGATCCATATTACGGATGTCGTCCAGAATGTGTTCAGAATCCAGATTGTCCTCTAGATAAGGCTTGCAATCGTAACAAATGTTTCGATCCTTGTACCGGCATTTGTGGTCAGAACGCCGAGTGTGTCGTGATAAATCACACTCCTATGTGCAGTTGTCCCGATGGCATGTCAGGAAATGCGTTTATGGCGTGTTATCCGGTGAAAGGTAAAATTCTCTAATTATTAAAGGAGCTACTAATTATATTAAATTTTTCGAAATAGTTCCTTTTGAATGGATTAAAAAATATCCTTTGTATTGCAGACCCAGTTATAGTACAACCTTGTAATCCATCACCCTGTGGTCCTAACAGTAGATGTCAAGATATTAATGGACAGGCAGTTTGTTTCTGTGCCCCTGGTTACATAGGAAACCCACCAGCTTGTCGACCAGAATGTATAGTTAATAGTGATTGTTCGTTAAATGAAGCTTGCGTGAATCTGAAGTGTGGAGATCCATGTCCTGGATCCTGTGGAGTATCAGCTCGATGTCAAGTGGTCAATCATAATCCCATTTGCAGTTGTCCTTCAGCATTTATTGGCGATCCCTTTATTCGTTGCTTACCTAGACGTAAGTGTTCTTTATGTTTGATTCAAGATATTCTTCTTAAACAATAAAAATTTGATTGTTATATTTCTTTAAAAGCCGAAGAACCTGTGTTGTCAACTAATCCATGTCAGTCATCACCATGCGGTCCAAACGCAATCTGTCAAGTCATAAATAATTCTCCATCCTGTTCGTGCAAACCAGAATTCATTGGTACTCCACCAAATTGCAAACCAGAGTGTATTAGTAATACCGAATGTGCTAGTCATATGGCGTGCATCAATCGCAAATGCAGAGATCCTTGCCCTGGTTCCTGTGGTCCTAATGCGGAATGTCACGTGGTGAATCACATTGCGTCATGCATATGTGCCAAGGATTACACTGGAGATCCATTCGTTCAGTGTGTTGCCAAGCAACGTAAGTGCTCGCTGTCAATTTATAATAGAGAACGAAAAATCGAGTTGAGTTAATTTCATTGTTTTTTTAGCGGATACAAGTATAGCACCTAGACCCTGTGAACCTTCCCCATGCGGAACTAATGCCATTTGCCGAGACCAGAATAGCCTTAGCTCTTGCACTTGTTTGCCCGAATATATCGGCAATCCTTACGAAGGATGCCGACCAGAATGCATTCGTTCGTCAGATTGTCCCTCTCATTTGGCTTGCATTAGATCTAAGTGTCAGAATCCTTGTCCCGGTTCTTGCGGAGCCAATACCAATTGTCAGGTGGTAAATAATTTACCTATATGTACTTGCATTCCGCAATATACTGGTGATCCATACGTGAACTGTGTATACAAGATTTCACCAAGTGAGTAAATTTAATAAGTTAAAATTGTTATTTTCAAATGCACATTAAATATAAATATTTTGCAGCCGAAGAAGAAGAACGAGATGTTTGTCAACCATCTCCTTGCGGTCCGAATAGTCAATGTCAAAATATAAATGGTCAAGCAGTATGTTCCTGCTTACCTCAATATATAGGAACTCCACCAAACTGTAGACCAGAATGTATCGTAAATTCGGAATGTAATTCGAATCTCGCGTGTATCAATCAGAAATGCAAAGATCCTTGTCCTGGTACATGTGGGATGAATGCACAATGCAAAGTACTTCATCATAGTCCCATTTGTAGTTGTGGAAGTGATTTTACAGGAGATCCTTTTGTTCATTGCTTTCCTGTTCCATGTAAGCTAAGATTAAATTTTATTTATATATAACTTTTATAAAAAGATATTCGTTGCGTTCGATTGCAATGATATTTACTTCACAGTGCTAAAGCCGGAAGAATCATATCCGAAAGATCCATGTGTTCCATCACCTTGTGGTCGAAATGCGATGTGCAAAGCCATAGGAGAAACTCCAGTCTGTACTTGCATGAACAATTATATAGGAGTTCCACCGAATTGCCGACCAGAATGCTCGATCAATTCAGATTGCATAGCAGATAAAGCATGCATTCAAGAAAAATGTAGAGATCCTTGTCCAGGATCTTGTGGCTTGAATGCACGTTGCACAGTTATAAACCATACACCAGCTTGTACTTGTCCTGAAGGATATTCCGGCGATCCATTCATCAATTGTTCGCCAATTACATTTAGTAAGGATTGAAACAATCGATGGATTCTTTTAAAATTCACGTTCAAAATTTATTATATATTGATTTTTCAGTTTCAGAACCTCCATCAAATCCATGCAATCCATCACCATGTGGACCAAATGCACAGTGCAATAATGGTGTTTGTACTTGTATACCTGGCTATCTAGGTGACCCATACACTATATGTCGACCTGAATGTGTAATCAACACAGATTGTTCCCGAAACGAAGCTTGTATATTACACAAATGCAGAAATCCTTGTGTAGGAACTTGTGGAGTAAATGCAGAGTGTAATGTAGTCAATCATTTACCGATATGCAACTGTCCTAGGAATATGACGGGCAATGCATTCGTTTCGTGTATTCCTCTTCAAGGTTGGTCCTTTAATCTGTTCCCATTATTTTATATTTTTGATGATTCTTATTGCCATGTTAAATTAATATTTAAAAATTATGGTTATGGTAGAACCTACCATAATTGATCCATGTAGTCCATCTCCTTGCGGCCCGAACAGTCATTGTCGATCCTCCAATGGCCAAGCTATTTGTAGTTGTGTTACTGGATTTAAGGGATCCCCACCATCTTGTAGACCAGAGTGTATTGTTAGTACTGATTGTCCGCGTAACAGAGCTTGCAGTAATCAGAAATGCATTGATCCTTGTCTTGGTACTTGTGGATTATCTGCCCAATGTTCTGTGATCAATCATAATCCTGTATGCAGCTGTTTCGAGCAATATACCGGAAATCCATTCGTACAATGCATTCCGCAAAGTAAGATTTTTTTATTCTTCCAGAAAATTTTTTTAACGATATTAGTGAAAAATCCTTTTAATATTGGAATTATTTTTAGCAAAACAACCGGATATTCCAGTGAATCCTTGTCAGCCATCACCTTGCGGTCCCAATGCTCGATGTCAGATGATTAATAATGCACCCTCGTGTTCTTGTCTCCCTGAATTTATAGGAACTCCACCAAACTGCAGACCTGAATGCGTGAGCAATTCAGAATGCCCAACGCAACAGGCTTGCATTAACCAAAAATGCAAAGATCCTTGTCCTGGTTCCTGTGGCACGAACACCGAGTGCAGAACTATTAGTCACACTCCTATGTGTACTTGTGCTAATAACTTCACCGGAAATCCGTTTATTCAATGTACACCTCAACCAAGTAAGATTTTCCCTTTAATTATTGATTTATAAGTTTAAATCAAAAGATCGGTCTCATTTTTTTTATTCTTTTATTTTTTTATTCGTAGTCGAAGACATAGCACAAAGAATCAATCCATGTCAACCATCCCCTTGTGGTCCAAATGCTGTTTGTCGCGAATCTTATGGTTCACCTCAATGCACTTGTTTGCCCGATTTCTATGGAAATCCGTATGAAAATTGTAGACCGGAATGTATTATCAATACCGATTGTCCATCCAATCGTGTCTGTATAAGAAACAAGTGTCAAGATCCTTGTCCAGGAACTTGTAGTTTTAATGCCGACTGCAATATAATCAATCATATTCCAATATGCAGTTGTAAACTGGGTTACACTGGTGATCCATTTAGATATTGCAGCGTATTCGAACAACCTCGTGAGTTTTTTCACAAATTATAACAAACACTAATCAATGCATTAGACACAATCTGATGATAATATAATTTATCAGCCACACTAAGTCCTATAAATCCATGCGATCCATCACCGTGCGGACCCAATAGTCGATGTCGCAATGTGAACGGTCAGTCTAGTTGCTCTTGTCTTCCCAATTTCAAGGGAATTCCTCCATTATGTAGACCAGAATGCGTAGTTAGCACGGAATGTGCTAGCAATAGAGCTTGCATAAACCAAAAATGTGTAAACCCATGTTCCGGAGTTTGTGGAATAAATGCGAAGTGCGAAGTCTTCCATCATAGTCCTATTTGTAGCTGCGACGCTTCTCAAACCGGAGATCCATTTGTAAAATGTTTTGATATGACCAGTAAGTGAATTATTTGAAAGAATCTCACTTCTAATCACTTGTTTGGAATCATTTTCACGAATATATTTTTCAATTTGCATACGTTTTTTAGCACCCGCACCACTTTTACCCATAAACCCTTGCGTTCCATCGCCTTGCGGCCCGTTTTCGCAATGTCAAGATATAGGAGGTATATCATCTTGTTCTTGTTTGCCCAATTATGTTGGTTCAGCTCCCAATTGTCGACCAGAATGTTCCATTAACTCGGATTGTACGAGTAATAAGGCTTGTGTAAGAGAAAAATGTAAAGATCCGTGTCCAGGATCTTGTGCAACGAATGCACTATGCAGCGTCATTAATCACACACCTGTTTGCACTTGTCCCAGAGATTATACAGGAGATCCTTTCACTAATTGCCAACCAATCTTCACACTCACACGTAAGAATATTTCCGATATAATTTATTAATTATTGAATTTTAATATCAATAATTGATTTGATTTGGCTATATAAATAACAGCTATCGTCCCAGTTCAATCAGACCCATGCCATCCATCACCTTGTGGTCCAAACGCCATCTGTCGAAACGCTGTGTGCAGTTGTATAAATGAGTATCATGGCGACCCTTATCTAGGTTGTCGACCAGAATGCGTACAGAATTCGGACTGTACTTATGATAAAGCTTGTTCCAACAATAAATGCGTGAATCCTTGTACCAAAGTCTGCGGTCAGAACGCAGAATGCACTGTGATCAATCATATCCCTACTTGCAGTTGCTTGGAAAATTATGAAGGAGATCCATTTAACCTCTGCAAACCTGTCCGAAGTAAGTGGAACTATCTATATTGATCCTAAAGAAAAATTATAAATTTCAAATATTCATTGATTGATGCTCTATGTATCACTTTACGATAGAACGTACGAAACCTTGCGAACCCTCACCCTGTGGACCCAACAGCATTTGTCGCGAGTTTAGTGAGCAAGCTTCTTGCACTTGCCTACCTGGATATTTCGGAATTCCACCCAGCTGTAGACCCGAATGCTTGGTAAACTCTGACTGTGAGCAGAATAAAGCTTGCGTGAATCAGAGATGCCAAAATCCGTGCGACAACGCTTGCGGACAAAGCGCGTTATGTATCGTACGAAACCACAATCCTATTTGCAGTTGTCCCGCACAGTATTCCGGTGACCCATTTGTTAGCTGTTTCCCTATGAGTAAGTAATGCATGCTTGGATCGGTGCTGTCTATGAATTTCTTTCTTTCTCGAACTTTGTGAACGTTCTTATTATAATAGAGAATATCTTTGAATTTTGATTGTTTTTTTTTAAATTTGACTATATTTCATTCCCACGAATAGCTCAATTCTTATGCTCAGACAGCGCTAATTTATATCTCGAAGTTTCTAACAAAAATAGATTATAATGTTTAACCTATAATAAACTTTTGTCAACGAGCAGCACCACAATACGAAGAGGCTAGTCAGAATCCGTGCAAACCCTCGCCATGTGGATCAAATTCTCAATGCACAGTAACACCAGACAATAAAGCCTCTTGTGCCTGTATGCCCGAGTTTATAGGCTCACCTCCCAACTGTAGACCTGAATGTCTCGTGAACAGCGAATGTCCTAGCAACGAGGCATGCGTTAAACAGAAGTGTACCGATCCTTGTACCGGACTCTGCGGCTTTAATGCCCTGTGTCAAGTTACCCAGCATTACGTCCACTGTATGTGTTCCGAGGGATACACCGGGGACCCGTTTGCTATTTGTACCATGATCAAGAGTAAGAAATAATCCCATGAGAATAATCGAAAAAATATAATAAATAACTGAAAAAAAAAAAATATTAACGAGCAACCAAGAATAAGAGATGAACTTTCGCAATTTTTCATTTTTTTTTTTTTTAATGAAGATACTAATGAATTTTTAATTGAATTTTTTTAATAGATACAAATTTTAATTTTGTACATATTGTACATAGAGAATTGTATAATATATTATAGAAAAAAATTGCATGTTGATTATAAATAGTTGAAGCAACCTTCTTCATACACATTCGTCATTCTCTCGTATACTTTTCACGATTTCTTTATCAAATCATTTCTATTCGCGTTCTTGTACAATTCTTAATATTCTTTTATTTTTTTGTAAATTAATTCTTGCAACTTTTCACGATAACGCAAATTTTTTAACGTAAATCACTAAACGAATTTCATTTCTAGAATAAAATATTAATATTTTTGGATTTTTATTTTATAGCTCCAGAAAAACCATCTACGTCACTGAGACCTTGCAGTCCTTCACCGTGTGGAATCAACGCTTATTGCAGGGAAAGACAAAATACAGCGTATTGCGAATGTTTGCCAGATTTCCGTGGAAATCCTTATGAAGGCTGTCAACCTGAGTGTTTAACCAACACTGATTGTCTGAAATCGCAAGCTTGCGTTAGGACTAAATGTCAGGATCCTTGTCCTGGTACCTGTGGCGTTGGTGCGATCTGTACCGTCTCTAATCACATTCCTATTTGTTCTTGTCCTCTGCCTACTATCGGCGATGCGTTTACGATCTGTCAAGCCATTCCTGAAGGTATTTTAATTTTATATAAATATTAAATTTTATATGATTGCCTTTTTAAAGATTCCTTGAAAGCAAAATTAATATTATATATTATATTAATTTTATATTAATATTATAATTATCATAAGTTACAATCATTTATCATAAATCATAAATTACAATCATAATCATTACACAATTAAGAAAATTTTTATAAAAAAATCAAAAAAATTTTCATTCTTCATTTTAATTATGATAAAAATATCGTATTTATACTAGCTCCAAAAGAGAGAGACCCTTGTTCTCCATCACCATGCGGTCCCAATACCATTTGTGAAAAAATCGGCGATACAGCTGTCTGCAAATGTTTACCTGGTCTCCAAGGAATTCCTTCTAGTATAACAGGTTGTCATCCAGAATGTGTGATTAGTTCAGATTGTCCGGGAGATAAAGCTTGCATCGGTAACAAATGCGTGAATCCTTGCACGCAAAATGTGTGCGGTATCAAGGCCACATGCAAAGCCATCAATCACAGTCCTCTATGCAGTTGTCCACCTCCTTTAATTGGCAATCCATTCGACGAATGTATCATTCAAATTGGTAATTACATGATATTCATATTCGTTATTTTGGTATTTAATTTCTTACGAATCTTTATGCTATCATTATTTCCTTGCAATCTAAATTTTTTTTATATTAATTTAGTTTATTTGTTTCAGAAACTGATCCTTGTAGTCCATCTCCATGCACTTATAATGGCGAATGTAAAGTTCGAAATGGCATCGCAATATGCATATATCCAGAATGTGTTATTAATTCTGATTGTCCACGAGATAAGGCTTGTTTCAACCAGAAATGTAAAGATCCTTGCATCGGTGCTTGTGGTATCAATTCATTATGTCAAACAGTAAATCACAAGCCTGTTTGTTCATGTCCAATTGGATTCACTGGAAATGCTCGCATACAGTGTACTATTCCAACGATCGAAGGTGATTTATTTGAGTCCAAAATTTTTAACAAAAAAAAAAAAATAGCTTTAATAAACTTAATTAAAATATCGAATTTGAACACATGCAGAACCAGTTCCAGAATGTATTCAAAATTCCGAATGTCCGAACGATAAGACTTGCTACAACCAGAAATGCATCGATCCTTGCACACTCGATTCTTGTGGTTTCAACAGCCGTTGTCACGTACAATTGCATCGAGTTGTATGCGTATGTAACGAAGGGTTCACTGGCAATCCTCAACAATATTGTGGTGAAAGTAAGTTCCTTAAATTTCGCTTTTCAAATTCATATCATGAAAATAAGAATTTTGTCGAATGAATTGAAAATATCTAGTATTATATACTATATAATAATATTAATATTTTAAATTTTCTTTATAGTTGGTTGTCGTGGTGATAGTGATTGTCCATTAACACAATCCTGTGTTAACAACGAATGTATAGATACTTGTTCTGTGACCCAATGCGGAATTAATGCATTTTGTAAATCGGATGGATATCATAAACCAAGATGTTACTGTCCTGATGGATATTTAGGAAATCCATATCAAGCATGCGAAAGATCAGAATGCGTAACTGATAATGATTGTCCATCTTCTTTATCATGTCGCGATTCAAAATGTATAAATCCTTGTGATTGTCCACCATCTGCACAATGCCACGTGATTAATCATCGACCAATCTGTCGTTGTCCTCCTGGTTATGTAGGCAATCCTTACACCTCGTGTCTGATCGGTGATTATAATTATTTTCTATGAATATAATTTAGATTACAATAAATTATAAATGATTAACTATTTGTTATAGAACCGATTGAACAACAGCCTCAATGTCAAGTAGATGGAGACTGTCCAAGTAAATTGGGCTGTTTCAGTGGTGTTTGCAAAGATCCATGTGTTGAAAGTAAACCTTGCATCGCTGGAGCAAAATGTTCTGTTGTAAACACTTTGCCAATGAGGACTATGATTTGCGAGTGTTTACCAAACTTTGCTGGCGATGCAACTGTCGCTTGCATTCCTGGTAAATGTTGAAATTTTTTGTTTAATTTTAGTTTTTCATTTAATTTTATTTTCAAATAAAATAAAATTTTTATTTTTATTTTTTTTTAGTGGATAAACAAATCGAAGCTATCTGTAAAGCCAACTCTCAATGTGCTTCAAATATGTCGTGTCTGAACGAAAGATGTATCGATCCATGCATTATCAATCCATGTGCTTCGAATGCGGAATGTTTAGTCCAAAATCATTATCGTCAATGTCATTGTTCGCGTGGCACTGCCGGTGATCCATTTGTAAATTGTTACAGAGGTACTTGTTAAAAATATAACACTTGCAAAATGAAAAATGAATAATGAGCAAACAATATATGATTATGTTTTTTAACAAAATTTTCATGTTGCAGATACTGATTCATTTCCAGAATGTACATCGAATCTTGATTGCGCACCTAATGAAGCTTGTATTAATGAATTATGTCAAAATCCATGTGTCAGTACGCAATGTGGTTTGAACGCGGAGTGTCTCACTGTCAATCATTATCCAACCTGTCATTGTAAGCAAAACTTCGCGGGAGATCCACAAGTACAATGTTTTAGACGTAAGTTGAGACGAGCTATTTATATGAGAGGATGACAATATAATTCATAATGACAATTTTATTCAAAAAATATAATATTCAATATAATATTTTATTTTATTATTATGACTTATTAAAATATTTCTTTGTAGCCGAATGCAAATCAGATAGCGATTGTCCTTACGATAAAACTTGTCAAAACAATAATTGCATCACACCTTGCTTAATCGGAGATATTGCCTGTGGTCGTGGCGCAGAATGCATCGCTGTCTCCCACAGGGCGCAATGCGTATGTCCACGGGGCACTCAAGGTGATCCACGGATTGCGTGCATCTCCACGATATGTCATTACAATGAAGATTGTGCAGATCACGAAGCTTGTGACAGATTGAACAGAGTATGTCGACCTGTTTGCGAGGATGATATTTGCGCAGAAACTGCAAAATGTATTGCGAGGGACCATCAACCTAAATGCGTCTGCCCTCTTGGTACCACTGGAAATCCATATATTGATTGTACTGGTAATTAATTAATTAATTAATTTTGGGTTTGATATGGATTAATGAATTTTGATTCATTTTTTATTTTGATACAAATCAAATAAGAATAAGAACGAAGAATAATTTTTTCTTTTTTTCTCTAAGGTATTTCCATCGAACCAGAATGCAAATCAGATAGCGAATGTCCATCATACTTCGCATGTATCAACACTAAATGCCAAGATCCTTGTCTATCCTCCAATATGTGTTCTGCAGATCAAGAATGCAAAGTACTAAACACAGTTCCTCTTCGTACAATGATATGCAGTTGCCCACCAAATACCATCACTAATATAAATGGATCATGCAAAAAGATTGGTAAATATTATTTCTAATATTTTTTGTCAATCTTGTTTTTATAAAATGCATTATACACAATGAAAATTTTATTAAAGTGCAAGAGGATGTGCAATGTCATCAAGATCAAGATTGCATTGATTCTGATAAATGCGTGGAAGGAACTTGCATCGAAGCTTGTCTCACAACCGAATGTGGATTGAATGCACAATGCAAGGCGATATCACACACCGGAATTTGTTACTGTGCACCTGAATTCACTGGCAATGCTTATATCGAGTGCATCAGAGGTATATTTTAAACATTTTTAACACCAATTTAATTTTTATTATTTATTAAGAAATGATTTTAGAAATCATATATTCAAAATTAAAAATTTTCCAGTACCAATAATAATACCACCACGTCCAGAATGTTATTCTAACAACGATTGTTTCAATGACAAACAGTGCATAAATTCTTTCTGCGTGAATCCTTGCGTTGTTGGGAATCCATGTGGTAGAAATGCATTGTGTTATGCAAATAATCATAGTCCAGTTTGCAGATGTCCTGCCAATTACATCGGTGATTCAAAAATCAATTGTGAACCACGTAAGTTTTGAATAAAAAAATAAATATGTTATATTTTAATAATAAAATCGATATATTATTCTATTCAAAAATTTACAATTTTTTGCAGCGGAAATAGTAGCCGAGTGTATATCCAATAATGATTGCGCAGGCAACACTGCCTGTGTAAACAATTTATGCATTAATCCTTGCAATTGTGGTGCAAATGCCAAATGCAATGTCGTAGATCATTATCCATCTTGTATCTGTTCACCTGGATACTCTGGAAATCCTCAATTGGGTTGTTTTAAACGTAAGCCAGATTTTCTTCTTTAAAGAATAAAACATCAATTAAATTTCACAATTTTATAAAATTGTTCTATTCTAGTGGATTGTGAATCAGATAGCGAGTGCAACAATGCAGCTACATGTTATAATGGACAATGTGTAAATCCTTGTATTCTGGAGAATAAATGTGCAATAAATGCAGAATGTTATGGTCAGAATCATCGTGCCATTTGTCGTTGTGGTCCAGGCTACTTGGGCAATCCAGAAATACATTGCGAAAGAGTGGAATGTACATCTAACTACGATTGTCCTCGAAATCTAGCTTGTTACAGTGGACGTTGTGTTAGTCCTTGTATAGAAGATTTACCGTGTGCTCAAAATGCTATTTGCTATGTCCAAGATCACGTGGCCACTTGTCGCTGCCCAGAAAATATTCCTGCTGGAAATCCATATTCCTATTGTACGCATCCGAAAAAGAAACCTGATGAACCAGAATGCAGAATCGATATTGAGTGTGCTGACAAATTAGTGTGCATTAAGAATAAATGTATCGATCCGTGCCCGGTGATCAAACCATGCTTACAGAATGCTCGGTGCAATGTTTTGGATACTGTTCCAGTGAGGACCATGACGTGCACATGTCCTGAAGGTTGGACCACTGATATCGATGGCGTTTGTAGACCAAGTAAGTATTTTTTGAGATTTTTGATATTAAAAAAATTCACAGAAAAAAGATTACTATAAAATATTTAATAATGGAATATCAAAATCAATCTATTTTTTCTTCATTTCAATTTTAGTAATATAATAATATAGATCAAGCATTCATTATATTAAAATACGTTTCTTTTCAGTTCAAATAACAATAATTGGCACTTGTACAACAAATGATGAATGCAGTGACGGAGAAGCCTGCATTAATAGACAATGCAGAAATCCATGCAATTGCGGTATAAATGCCGCTTGTTACGTGCGAAACCATAAACCGATCTGTTCTTGTGAGGAAGGATACCAGGGTAATCCAAATATCGCCTGTTATTCTGTAGAATGTACACGCGATAGTGAGTGTGCTCTGGATAAGAGTTGTGTGAATAACAATTGCGTGAATCCTTGTCTGGTCTCCGATAATTGTGGAGTAAATGCCGAATGTTATCCTAATAATCATAAAGCAGACTGTAGATGTCGTCAAGGATATCATGGAAACTCTCTAGATCGTTGCAGAGTGATCGGTTGTTATAGTAATGGAGACTGTCCTGGAGATCATTCTTGCATCAACATGCAGTGCATCAATCCTTGTGTGCACAGTAATCCTTGCTCGTCTCTAGCTGAGTGTAGAGTATTTAATCATCTACCTATTTGTCGTTGCCCAATTTATTACATTGGCAATCCTTATATTGCTTGCAAACCAGAAGAACGACCAGAATGTAAAGAGGATAGTGATTGTCCTAATTTGTTGGCCTGCTTTGATAATAAATGTCAGAATCCATGTTCTGTGGTGCAACCCTGCAGCGAGCCATCGGAGTGTAGAGTACTTCCAACATCTCCGGTTCGCACGATGGTTTGCGTATGTCCCAGTGGATATGTAAGTAGCGGCAGTGGAACTTGTCGACCTACCAAACCAATTTTGAAGATCGAATGTGCAAGGGATAGCGATTGTCCTTCGGATAAATCTTGCGTGAATGCGATATGCAAGAATCCTTGCGCTTGCGGTCCTAATGCAGATTGTAGCGTTGTTAATCACAAACCAATATGCTCCTGCATACTAGGGTATGATGGAAATCCTGACGTGGTGTGTACCAAAGGTGAGAATTGTTAAGAAAATTAGATTCAATCTATTCTTTTTTTATTTCTTGTATTTTATTCGTTACCAAAAATCATTTCAGAAAAATTAAATGATTTATTGATCTTTTCCTTATTTAATTCGATATGTAATTTTTAGTTGCTGGATGTCGCACGAATAGTGAATGCAGCGGATCACATGCATGTGTGCAACATAATTGTGTTCCCGTTTGCTCACCATCATTAATCACTTGCGGAAAAAATGCCGAATGTCATGGTATCAATCACAAAGCCATCTGCGAATGTCCACCAGGATTCGGTGGCAATCCGAGAGTCTCTTGTATCCTTCTCGGTTGTAAGAGCAATTCTGATTGTCCTACTAACAAAGCTTGCATCAACAATCGCTGTGAGAATCCTTGCGCGAAAAATCCTTGTACCGGAAACATGGATTGTAACGTTTATAATCATGTAATCGAATGTGCTTGTCCTCCTGGCTACATTGGAGATACCAAAGCAGGATGTGTCAAATGTAAGAATCAATTAATCGATATTTTTAATAATCGATTTTATTTGACATCATTAAATAATTGGACTATTTCTCATTTATTCTTTATTCTTTAGTGACAGAAAAATGTAAAGCAGATAATGAATGTCCATCCCAAACTGCCTGTTTCAATGGTGAATGTATCAATCCTTGCGTGAAGATTGAACCTTGTGGAATAAACGCGGATTGTAAAGTACTCGATACATCTCCTGTGAGAACCATGATATGTGAATGCATTCCTGGATATAGAGGAAATGCGGTCGTCCGCTGTGATAAAAGTAATATCTCATTCTTAATCAAATAATTTGTAATCAACAATGATACAAGATTATAGGAAAATTTTTAAATAATTTATTTCACTTTACAGCGAATGTATGTGCAGTAGAAAAAAGTGAGATTCTAGATGAATATGGTAATTGCGTCTGTCCACCTGGTTCAGCTAAGGATGAGAAAGAAGTGTGTATACCATGTCGTAAACAGTCTGGAATGATAATCAATGAAGAAGGATATTGTGTATGCGCTCTGGAGAACGGCATGATCATCGACGAGTATGGCCGTTGCGTATGTCCAACTCATCATGGATATAGACTAGATACAAATGGATATTGCAAACCTGGTAAGTGAAAAATATTTTTTTATTTGGTTAATTTTTTGTTTGCATAAATTTTATTTATTTAATTAATTTTGTAGCCGACATAATCGAGTGCAAACACGATGATGATTGCGCCGATAACAGATTCTGCGATAAAACCAGTCAGACTTGCGAAGATCCTTGTTCGATTCAATTATGTGGTCTTTATGCACTTTGCAATGCTACTCGTCATCAAGCTATTTGCATATGCATCAATGGCTACATTGGAAATGCTTACACTCAATGCTGTAAGATATTTTTGTTATAGGAGACTCTACTGGTGTTCTTCTTGAATATTGTACTTCATTTGAATTTGTCAATTCTAGTTGTCTTACAATTATTGTCTGTAATTATTTTATCTGTAGTACTCTATCTGTTTCTATCATATCTTAGATTCGTATAATATTAACGCAGTGTATCTATTATTATAATAATTATTATTATACGGCTTTAAACTTAGTGCTTTAAATTCTTAACTTTCTATTTATCTTTTAAACTTTTTTATATAATTTTAATCTATGTCTTAAAGATGTTTGATTCGACTTTAAACTTGACTATATAAAATCTTTATTATGAATTCTTTTTTGAGATCTTCTGTCTGCTTTGAAATTCTTATTATCTATTTTATCTATAGCGTTCTGAAATTTTTGCTGTCCGTTTTGAAAATCTTTCTGTCTGATTTGGAATTTTTGTTAGTTAATTTAGAACTTTTGCTGTTTAGTTTGAAACTGTTGTTGCTTTAAAATTCTGTTTTTTCCTGTTATTCAATATTCTTAATGACTTGTCCTTCATGATTTCTTTTCATTATATCTTTAAAATTCTCACTGAGAAAAATAGACATTCGTATAGTAAAAACTCTAAATATTATCTCTCAAAAATATTTTTCTTTCAATTATTTTTGATTGTATTATAAATCTTTCATAATCGTGAACTCTAACAAAATGATTTCTTTGATAGATGACAAGAATCGATGGCGCACTGATTTCCCCAGGCCAGAAATGGTTGTCAGTTGTTTATCTGATGGAGTGCAAGTCGAGATACATCTCCACGATCAGGAATTTGATGGCGTTCTATATGTCAAAGGTCACAGTAAGGACGAACAATGCAGAAGAGTTGTCTCCATTCCAGCAGAAACTATGCACAAAACTGAAATATTTAAAGTAGCGTTCGGAAATTGCGGACTTATTCACGTAAACGTAAGTTTTTTTTATAATATGGAAATCAAAATTTATTAGCTTTATCGAAATCTGCTCACATTCTTTCTATCTATTTCAATTATTATTAATAAAAATATTATTTTTAACAGGGACAAGCCAGTTTTGTATTGGTCATACAAAAGCATCCAAAATTAATGACATATAAAACTCAAGCTTATCATATCAAATGCATATATCAAACCGGAGAACAAAATGTTACTCTTGGCTTTAATGTTTCAATGTTAACTACTGCCGGTACAATTGCTAATACTGGTCCTCCACCAGTCTGCTTAATGAAGATTGTCACTCAAAATGGAAATGAAATAAATTCAGCCGAAATTGGAGACAATTTGATGTTGCAAGTCGAAGTTCAACCTTCCAGTGAGTATATTATTTATACTATAAGTTAATGAATTTTTTTCTTATATTAATTAATTATAACTGATTTTAACATTTTAACATTTTAATGTTTTAGCTATTTACGGTGGATTTGCTCGAAATTGCGTGGCTAAAACGATGGAAGATAAATTGGAAAATGAATATATCGTAACAGACGAGAATGGTTGTGCAACAGATCCAACAATATTCGGAGAATGGGAGCAGAATCCTGAGACACAGACATTGATGGCCAGCTTTAATGCTTTTAAATTCCCAAGCAGTGATAACATTCGATTTCAGTGCAATATCCGTGTATGCTTTGGACGTTGTCAACCTGTAAGTATTGCTTTAATTTTGCAATACATAATGTGTATTTTAAAATATGAAAATATAATTATCATTTTCTCGCAGGTTAATTGTCGAGGATACAACGCGTTTGGTCGTCGTCGTCGAGACGTGAATTCTGAGATAAATGACACGTCTTTAAGTATTACAGATAGCTACGAAGGACAACTTCGAGAAGAAATAACAATCCAGTCGAATTTGATATTCACTTTGGAGAGGCGAGAAGAAAGATTGACAGCAGATCCAGCTGAAAGTAAGATTATATTTTCTTTAATATCAATGAGAAAATTTTTAAAATACTTAATTATTACAATTTTTTTTTTTTTTTTTTTGTTTCAGTTCCTGCAGCTCAAAGAGTGGAAGACATTTGCGTTTCTATGGTTGGCTTTGTAATAGCATTAGTAATTACAGCACTTTTGGCATTAGTCGCTGTAGCTATTGCTGTTTCGTGCTGGCTAATGGCGTATCGTCGCCAGCCAAAGACTGCTGGACCACTGCCACACCCACCAGAGTTCCCAAATCCATTGTTCACTACCGAATCTGTAGCTGAACCGTCTCCTGATTATCATCTATCTTAAGTGTTCTAGGATAATTATTATTTTTTAACGTAATTTTATAATTCTTATTGAAATGCAATACAGACCACAATTTTGTTTTTCTTTCTGGTCGGTCTTGTATTTCTATCAACGACTCTTCCAGTGACTAAATTTCCGTTACTTTCTTCTGGAGGGTTCACATACAACGTGTTGTACGTCGTTCATTGTTATATATGAGTACCCCAAATTAAGATATATATATAGATATACATATAAATGGATAAATAAAAATTGCGCGCGCGTATGTGTGTGTGAGAGAGAAAGAAAGAGAGAGAGAGAGAGAGAAATATTTGCTATTTATGGTGATGGTTTGCTTCCATTATCTACAACACAATAGAACTTGTCTTCCGATATACTACTTTCCACTTCTTCTTTTCATTTTCTTCTTCTTCAGTCATTGGAAGATTTGTTAAGCGTAACAGCGAATTTAATTCCCGTGTAAAGTCAAACGAATTAGTCTAATATAGCTTTCTTATGTCGTGCGTAGGTAACTGTACATTTTCTCTAATAAAATACTAATGTAATATTTTTAAAATTGTTTATTATATTATACTACCTTAATATTTATTTGTTTAAAAAAAAAAGATAAAATAAAAAGAAACATATTAAAACATGTAAGTATCAAGTCGAAAAAAATTATATTTTATTATAAATTATAAATTAATAATAAAATAAATAAATTAAATATTTACTTCTGTTCCATTTTTACATAAAAAACTGAGTACTCAATATTAGAATAGAATGAAAAAAGAATGCAATAAATGCACTCAAGATATCTGTTGAACATGACTGAATGTATTTTAGAAATATCTATATAACGCTAATTTGTAACATTATAATAATGTGTATATTTGAAAAATATTTTCAATATATTTATTTATAATTTTATTTGCGTATAAAATTGTCTTGCAATTCCATCTTTTCTATTAGAATTGGAAATAGACAAAATTCCGACACAAATAATTCCTATACATAATATGATTAATTATCCTTTGATAACTGCAATCGGTCTTAATTTTATACATTTCCGCGAAATGCCTGCAGCATGACATGTATTTACAACATCCGTTACATTTTTATAAGATTCTGGCGCTTCTTCCATTACTAACTTAGGCGAAGCGACTCGAATCGATATACCTTGCCGTTCTAATTTTTCTAATACATCCGTATAATCCAAGTTTCTACGTGACTTTGCTCTAGATAAAGCTCGTCCCTGAATAAAATTTATATTCAAATTTATATATAATTTTATAAGAAACAAATTTCTCACAAATACTTACTGCTCCATGACAAGTAGATCCAAATGTTTCTTTCATAGCTTGATCAGTTCCTGTGAGAACATAACTACAAGTTCCCATAGTACCTCCAATTAAAACAGGTTGACCTGTTAATTGATAGTCTACAGGGATCAAAGGATGATGAGGTGGAAATGCTCTTGTTGATCCCTAACAAGAAATAATTATATATAATAATTGAATATAATAATTCATTATTTTTACTTACTTTTCTATGTACTAGAAGTGTTTTCTGTTTTCCATCAACTATGTGTTCTTCTATTTTTGCAATATTATGAGAGACATCATATATAACATGCATATCTAAATCATCAGGAGATAATCGAAATTGCTTGGCAAATGCTTGTCGACTAAGAAACGTCATAGAGCTTCTATTAACCCAAGCAAAATTGGCGGCTGCGGCCATTGATTTTAGATAATCTTGTCCTTCTTGAGATTTGATATGAGCACATGCTAATTGTCTATCATTAGTTTCAATATTGTCTCGTTTCATAGCTTTTTCCATTTGTACAAGAGCATCTATAATAATAAAAATTAATATATACTATTTTTTGAAAAAATTTTATCAGATATTCATTACCAGTTGCAACTTGATGTCCAAATCCTCTGCTACCAGAATGAATCATAACACAAATTTGACCTTTTTCTTCAATTCCCATTTTGCATGCAGCCCATTTGTCATAAATTTCATCTACAACTTGAATCTCAGCATAATGATTTCCTGCTCCTAATGTTCCTAACTATAAAAAAAATTTACTTGAGAATTTAAAATTTTTAATATATATGTATATAATATATATGCATGTAAAAATATATTTTCAGTACCTGTGGAAGCCCACGTTTTTTTGCTCTCATTGATACCTTTGAAGAATCTGCATTAAGCATTCTACCATATTCTTCACAATGTTCTTTATCTTCTGCCCAAATATAACCTGTAGAAAGTTGAAAAATAAACTTATTATTAATAATAAAGATTAATTGGTTATGCTGTCTAGAATATCTGGATACTGTAAAAATACCTTCTCTGAGAGACCAATCCATTCCCATTTCTAAAGCTTCTTCTAAATCACGTGCATTCATAGGAATAATTCCTTTTGAACCAACACCAACAGGAATGTGATCAAACATACTTTGGGCAAGTTGTTCCTAAAAATAATCACTGATTTATTTTTATTTCTGTGATATAATATTAATTACTAAAAAAGAATTACCTTTACAGGTTGAACATCTTCTTCAAAAAGATTAGTTCTTAATAATCGTACTCCACAATTTATATCAAATCCTACTCCACCAGGTGATACTATAGATTTTGGATCATTCATATCAAATGCTGCCATATTACCAATAGCAAAACCATATCCAGAATGTACATCAGGCAATCCAACAGATCTCCACACAATTCCAGGAAGGGCAGCAACATTAGCAATTTGTTCATGCCTGGAAGAAAGCCACCTACTGCTCCTGGTCTACATGCATTTTTCAATTCATCAAACATTAAACGTTCCAATGTATTATTTACATAAAAAACACCTTCAACCTAAATCAAAAAAAATATTAGAATATGTCTAAATATGTGTAAGATAAAGTATCATTATAATCATTATAATTGATAAATAATTAATTAAAATTATAATTGATTTACCTTCATATTAGGTTGAAAACCCTTTTTTATTTTCCAGCATGTATCAGTTATTTTTTCTAAGAATTTTAATTCTTCTTGATATTGCCGAACTACCATTTTTTATAATAAATTCTCTCCTTCGTTTAAAGATATATTAACAGTTAAATCCAAAATATATTAACTAAATTCCAAACTACAGATTATATTTTAAAATCAAATGTAGTTTCTTATAAATTTTTAAATATAATCTTTTTTTTAATTAATATTATAAAAAATTAGACTACGAAATATTGTTTTTTTTATTTATTAACATAAAACATTAATTTTTTAATAGCAATGATATAGTCAACCTTTTTGATTGCACTTTGTATACACTTTATTCCATGTCGCAAATATTATATAGAGTAATTGTCAGGAAAAAGCAAGAACAAATATAGACAAGAATAAATAGAGGAAGAAGGACAGAGATAGAATAAAAATTCGAGAATCAGCGCCATCTCTAGAGTGCCGCAAATCAAACACATAAAGAAAGGACAGAAAACAATAAGACAAGGATAGAGATAAAATACGAATTGACTGACAGCGTCATCTTTTGACTTTCAAAGATATTTCTTTAATAAATTTTTCTAAAAGTTCTCAAGAGATGGCGTTAATTTTTAATTCTTAATCTACTTTATCCTATTTTTAAAAAAATACTTTTGGCAATCGAGAGATGGCGCTGACAGTCAGTTCTTACAATATCTCTATCCTTTTCTTATTATTTTCTATCCTTTCATTATGTGTTTCATTTGCGGCACTCTACAGATGGCGCTGATTTCAATATTTTCATTCTATTTCTATCCTTCTTCCACTATTTAGTATCTTTAATACTACATAGATGGCGGTAATAGTACGATTTTAGCGTATCTCTATTCTTCTTTTATTATTTATTCTGCAAAATTTATACGCTTAAGAAATGATTATTTAAATGAGAACGTATAATAGTATAAATAAAGAGAAAAAAAAATAAAAAAGATATATTTTCAAAGAAATAAATGTATCAAAAATAATTGATTATCATTACATTTCATTTTCTTTCGTACCTATAGCGTTCTTATCTTATTCCTTTCTAAATCAATAATGTAAAATGAGAATAGTAATTAGGATTAAGTAGTGTCCGAACTATGTAATGCTAAAATGCATTAGATCAAAAGTCTATCATATATTTAATTCATGATATAACTAAGCAATGCAGAGTATTATATATGAAGTGCAAAAATGGCTACTCCTGCAAAAGCAGCTGTGAAACATGTAAAACCAATTTTATCGTTGACTCCTATAGAAGCTCGAAGAAGAGTAATATCATTATATAAAACATGGTACCGACAAATTCCATTTATTTGTAAGTTTATTCGTTATATATCTTTCTCTTGATAATTAATGAAATATATTGTTATCTAACCTATTCGTGTTTAGAATAGTATATACTATAAATATTGATATAAAGATATCGTAAATTTATCTTCTTTGTATAAAATGATATAATTTCTCTTATAATTTTGGTAAAAATAATTAACAATTAATAATTAAATATTTTAAATTTTTGTAACAGTTTTCTATTGCTTCAGCTTGTCAGCTTGTTACTATTTTTATAGCAGAATCATGAAATATATATGTATGGACAATTTATTTTGTAGTGTCCAATTATGATATCCCAAGGACAAAGGAAGAATGTAGGCAAAAATTAAGGGAGGAATTTAAACGTAATGCTCATATAAATGACTTAAGAGTAATTGATTTGTTACTTATTAAGGTAAAGAAAATGCTTTTTATTAATAGTGCAATATATATGATATTAATAATGATGTTGTATTAGGGACAAATGGAACTTCAAGAAATTTGTGCTCAATGGAAACCACCTGGAACATTGTTGAATTATTGGAAGGAAACACACGAACCAAAGCCAAAAGATTTTATGTCAAAGTTTTTATCAGGTCAAGATTAAATTTTATGATTGTATAATATATTTGTATAAGTTATGTAGTATAATTGAATATGTAAAATTTATAAATTATATTAAAAGAATATACAGTTGTCTGAAAAGTAAATATGGAAAAAAGAAGAAAATGTACTTTTTTTTATTAAAAAATCGAATTATACAACATTTGAAAAGATGAAATTTTAATCAGCTCTTACAGAAGATAATATTTCTTTTAATTTACATTTTATCTTTACATCTATATATTATTATTCAGTTATATACATTTGACAAGATGATATATTACTAAGCACCTTAGGTACAATCTAGTTCACTTTTCACAGCCATACGGATAATTTGCTTTCCTTCAGTGAACAAGTATCGAAATTATACATACATACATATATATACATACATACATACATATGTTTGAAACAAGTATATTCGAACTTGCATAAATGTACATTTGCACGTTTTTTCTTCTTTTTTTCTTTTTTTTTTTTTTTATTTTTTTTATTTACAATGGGAGTCGTTTGTGCTATCTTGTGATAGACTTTTTTTTACATGATTTCTGTACTTGTATATACTTTGGTTAGAATCATTTTTATAAAAGTCATTCTAGTTTTATTATATCCTCAAATTAAAAATTTTAACAGATAAATCTCGCACTATGTAAAAAAAAAAAAAATGTTCGCCGCCAATATAAAGCGCACTTTAATACAAACCATAAAAATATCTAGGTATTAAAAATATACACAATCGGTAACTTTTATACCCATACATTTCACATATCTATACGCTAAAAAATGGCAACAATACATCATACTTATGACTCATAAATGTAATAATGTTTTTGTGCATTCGTCTTTTACAAGAGATTTTGTGTTCGAATTCCCTTCACTTCTTTTCTTAACTATACAAATAATTTTGCATCAAACTATACTTTCACGTTCCGACTGCATATCGTAACCTGCTATAACACCCCTTCTTAACGAAACATCGCTATTGCGTAATCCATTGCCACTGAACAGATTTACCAGCCAACTTCTAATCGAATTTCTTGCGGAAGATTTTTTGTCAGGCACACTGTCTGTACTAGGAACGGATACCACTTGATCGAGGGAACGCCAACGTTTAACAGGCACAACTTCTCCCATACAACCACTCTCGTCTCCTAGCAATGGTGTCTCTACTTCATTCGGTGATTCATCGGTATGGGGTAATATTATCACATTACCATTCGGATAATTGTTATTCAACACTTTCTCAGAAATATTTGTCTTTGAGTTAGTCCGTGTACACTTTTCACAATTTTCTAAAGATCGAAAACTTTTCTTCGGTTCTTTCCAAGAGAAATTTGGCGACTCGAACCTTTTATTATAAAGCTCCAATGGGAATGGGTCTAAGGAACGAGATTCTCGTATTATCGTTTGGAACGGATAATCACTCGTAGAAGATGATGAAGCAATGGTCGATAGAACTCTTGCATTTTTTCTAAATTTTAGCCTTGTGTCGATAAAAAAATCATCAAGTGCCATTTTAATGTTAGCCGCCCGATTCTCAACTTCTTCTTGTAATGCGATATTATCTAACGTTGTTTTTGATACACTATCGGTCAAGTACAGAGGAGAATGTTCTACTTTTCGAGAGTTAAGAGATTTAGGCACTGGACTGGATCCTCCGCATTGAGATGATGAATCATCCGGTGTCGGTCTTGGAACATTCGACTGTCTGCGACTACCTGCTCCTAAACCACCTAACAACGAAGCTTGGCGAGAATCTGAATTTAATTTCGGACTTCTCCTCGGTCTACAAAAAAGTGGTGGAAGATCACCGACATCGACCTAGTAACATAAAAATAAATATTAAAAATAAATATTAAAGTATACGTAACATGTTATCATATTTCTTTTCGTACAAACCTCTCGTTTTTGAATAGCTTTTTCAGTGGCTCCAGTGAGCCAATAAGTTTTCACTTCTCCTTTTCCTTTCATATAAACCAATCCACGTTCTTCAATAATATAGCCGCCAACCTTATCCAAAGCATCTTTGCATTGCTCGCTTATGTGAATACGTAATGGTTCGCCATTTGATTCCATGCGCGAAGCTGTATTTACGGTATCTCCGAATAAACAATATCTAGGCATCGTTAAACCAACAACACCTGCTACCACAGGGCCTGTAATATTTGTTAATACAAATAAAAATTGTGAATAATTGTAATTTATATATTTTTTTTGTTTGATATTCTCCATACTCTAGACACAATACCTGTGTGAATTCCAATACGCAATTTAAGAGTGTCTTGAGGTCTGTGAGTTATGGTGTGATGTTTCACAGCGTTAAGCAATTCTAGGGACATTGACGCAATTTCTCCAGCGTGTCTATTTCCATTTTTTATCGGCAAACCAGAAACCTGATAAAAAACACGATTATAAAATTATGTAAAATAAGAAAATATATAATCTTGCAAAAAATTTACATACCACCATATAGGCATCACCGATTGTTTCTACCTTATATACGTCATATCCTTTGATTATACGGTCGAACAAAGTGTATAAATCATTTAAGAAGTTTACTACCTGAAAAATAAAAGAAGAAATATGTTGATTGTATCCGTAGGAAGTTGCATATTATGTTTCTTCGATGATTAGTTTGCGAAAAATATACTTGGAAAGGTGTGCTTTCCGCTGACATTGCAGTAAAACCAACGATATCGCTGAAATATATAGTAACTAAATCGAAAGCTTCAGGTTCCACACCGATTCCATTCGTCAAACAATTTGCAACGGGTCTGTAAAAAATAAATAATATTATTAAATAATATTCTATTATATATATAATAAAATTTTTATATAAATACAACTTACTCAGGCAACATTCTATGAAGTAAATCTTCGGTTTTTTGCTTTTCCTCGAAAAGAAGGCGTGTACGTTCACTGACTAGATCTTCGAGGTTGTTCGCATATTTCTCCATCATGTCCATCATTTGGTCCATGATATTGCGATGCCTTCCCGCTTTCATTTTCTTTAATCTCGTCCTTATCATTTTGAAGTCAGGCCTAAGTTCTGGACTTTCCGCCCAACAGTCGGTAATCGTACTAACTATATACTCTGCACAATCCGCTTCAGACTCGGACAGTATGTCTATGTTAGGTCTAAACGGTGGTTCACCATCTTCTGGGAACCTTTTCACTCGGTCAATGATTTCTGTCAATTTGTTAACGTTCATATTTATATTTCTGCAGCTATACCTTTTGGCAAATGCCGATTAACGAATGACAATCGCTAACGCTTACACTATCTCTTATTTTACACGAACATTTACCTTTGGGTTCTAGATTCACGCCACCATATGGACCCTTCCGCCCGATTATCTCGAACAATATAATCGCAAACGAGTAAATATCTCCTTCCTGGGTCCCTCTGATCGGAGCATTGGGATTTCTTAATAATTCAGGTGCCTTCCAGAATAAGTCTGTATAGAATATTTAATTTTTCTTTTTCTTTTTTTTTTTTTTTTTCTAAATCAATAATCGTAAAATAAATATTACAACATTCTCCTTCCTTACTTCGATAATACTGATGTTCACCAATGCTGTCGGATTCGGCGCAGTGTCGCATATCGTGCAGGCCAAAATCAGAGACTTGGAGTACCCATCGCGATGTCACCACGCAATTGGAAGACTTCAGATTACCATGACAGACTAGTACAGATGACTCGTGAATGTACAGCATACCCTAAATAAAAGAAAGGAAATATATATTTTTTACAACGATTTCACAATCAAAATTCTATCATTTCTTGAAAGTACATATGTAAAAATATACTTGCTTTAATGAGATCGTGAACTAATGAAGCGATGAACATATCATCCAACTTGATATCTTCGTTCTCGATAATATCCTGAAACACGCATGCAATGTGATCATTCGTTGAAAACACGAGCAGACCAGATTACACGTTCATTCGTGTATTAAGGTGACGTACATAAAGACTTCCTTTGGCGCAATAGTCCGTAATTAACAATATCCTCATTGGCTCGACGCACGCTCCGATGAAAGAGTTCAGGTTACCGTGTCTGATCTCGCGAAGGATACGCATCTCCTTCATCACGTCCCTCGATATATCCTTCTTCTTCGAGAACTTTAACTCCTTTATCCTAACCACCACCCCGTGGTAATGCCCAGTTTGCGCGAACACCTGGCCCCCGCATCTTGACTCGTAGGACATTGCACTAACTAAGCTTAACTGTAAACAAAGGCCAATAATAAATAACAAATGCAAAAATTTTATCCGACATCAAGAAAACATTTACAATAAAAGCAAATCTCTTTCAATTTCTGAAAATCCCTTCTCTCTTGATTCATTCATTGCATACCTGAAGAGAAGATGAGAAATCGTGCGAGCTCACCTTACTAGGGGAGGACATCATGTTGTCAAGATGAGGATAGCCGTGTATCTCGTTCGGATCGATTTTCCACAGCAATCCCTCGATTTCCTGTTCTATCTTCCATCTTCGATATATGCTCATAGTGATTACCGCGGCGCAGAATAACAAAACGGCCAACACACCGGCAGCAACGATACTTCGCAAATGCGTGTCGTCTTTGGGACAGTGTTCGTTGAGGAAACCGCATCCCGGTTCCGCTTCCGGCTTATTCTTACCCGGCCAGTCCATCGCCTCCGACGGCCTGTACACCTGGACAACACACGATTATTACACGTATTATTATTTATCACTCGATATACATTTTAATCACGATCGACTAAATTAGCATTCTTCTTGACCGGGGATACACGAATTTGTAGGAATTTGTTGTGCAAGGCCGTGAACATGGAAATGAAATGCTGCTGCAAGAATGCTGTAAACAACTCACTCACTAGAGTTTCACCCTGTTGAAATTGGCCTACAGGCTTCATTTGAAAGTCGCACGAGAAGTTGTTGAAACGGAACGGATCCTTCTTCAGGGCGAGCACCGAGAAATTCCCCTCCGAGTCGCCGAACTTGTCGAACTTGATGGTCGCTCCGCTGACACCTGTTCCCGGAGGAAACGCAATTTCGTTATTCTCACAGAGGAGGCATTCTGTCATCTTTCATAATCTTTCTTTCGCTATCTTTCGTAATCTAAAATGGCCTTATCGAATATCTACGATATTGTATACACTATACGGGTAGCGCGTCTCCAACGTCTCGCGAAGGATATACGTGGATAAACGATACGTGTTCGTGAACACCTACTCGCTCGATTAAACCAGATCAAGCCTTATCGAGAGAAATCGAACGTCAGACACACTCGATCGAACAATATTCGAATTATATTTGCATTACTCACTCTGATACGTGTGATTTCTGATAATCGTCTCGATGATCTGGGTGCCATTGTTCGCGATCTCCTCGAGCGTGTGCTCCGGCTGATCCCTAAGCAGTTGATCCAGGGCTCTCGCGTACAATTTCACGGAATCGTAAAGATAGGCGGCGTGAATCGACACGTACTGGAACGAGAAAAATTAACAAATCTATCTGCACGTCTCAGAAGAGGTTCAACAGCTAGGAGATGATATTCTACCTTCTCGTATTTTCTCAGCAATTCAGGTATGACAAAGTTGAACGGCTCCTTGCTGCTGTACTCTCTGACCTTCTTGGTGAACTCCTCGTAATTCTGCGTAGGCGGGGTCGACACGACCACCATCAGGGACCGTGCCCTCTTGAGGAAGTCCTTCGGCTCCAGGCAATTCCTCAGATTGTCGAAGTGTTCCGGTTCTGAAAAAGAGTCGATCGCGCGCAAAGTCGAGGTCAGAGAGGTGTTTACCC